CTGCTAAAGCTAAAAATAGAAATACCTTTAGGCATCATCTTCTGCAGAACTAATTGATGGATGATCACCAAATTTTGTCTGTAGCATTCTTGGGTAGTGTTTTATCAAGTTTGCTCATATTAATTTGATTGGCCCTTTTTAGGGGCTGCTAAAAGCTAAAAATAGATAAACCTTTGAACATCATCTCCTACTGAAATAATTGATGGATGATCACCAAACTTTGTCTGTAGCATTCTTAGGTAGTCTTTTTATCAAGTTTGCTCATATTAATTTGATTGGCCTCTTTTAGGGGCCGCTTAAGCTAAAAATAGAAATACCTTTTAAACGTCTGGTTTTACAGAACTAATTGATGGACGATCATCAAACTTTTTCTGTAGCATTCTTAGGTAGTCTTTTATGTTTTACTGAAAAGCAGTTGTTTCTGCTGAGCAACAGAGGGCCATAATGGCCCTCTTGTTTGCATATTTATGCCCCTTTTTCGAATTAGAAATTCTTGGTTAAGTTTTTGCATGTAAGCTTGTATCTCCATTTTTACTGAAGGGATTGGATTGAAACTTCACACACTTGTTCTCTGTGATTACCTTATATGATTGGCACAAGTCCCATAACTCTGATTTGCTTTTTTGCATATTTATGCCCCTTTTAAGACTTGGAAATTCTTGGTTAAGTTTTTGCGTGTAAGCTGGTATCTCTCAAACTACTGAAAGGAATGGATTGAAACTTCACACACTTAATCTCTGTGATTATCTAACATAATTGGCACAAATCCCATAACTCTGATTTGCTTTTTGTTCCCCCACTTTAGTGGCGGGCATTTAGATTTACCTTTGTCCGTCTGTCCTTCCTTCGTCCGTCCGTTCTCTTTTGTGTTGCACGTAACTCAAAAAGTATTTGACCTAGAGTCATGAAACTTTACAGGAATGTCGATCAGCATGTGTAGTTGTGCACCTGGGTATTTTTGTCTGGATATTGATAGTATTTTCAGAGTTATTGCCCTTGACTAAGTAAAATTTTGCAATTTTTAACTTGTGTCGCATGTAACTCAAAAAGTATTTGACCTAGAGTCATGAAACTTTACAGGAATGTTGATCAGCATGTGTAGTTGTGCACCTGGGTATTTTCATCTGGATATTTTTGGTATTATTAGAGTTATTGCCCTTGACTTAGTAAAATTTTGCAATTTTCAGCTTGTGTCGCATGTAACTCAAAAAGTATTTGACCTAAAGTCATAAAACTTTACAGGAATGTTGATCAGCATGTGTAGCTGTGCACCTGGGTATTTTCTTGTGGATATTTTTAGTATTTTTAGAGTTATTGCCCTTGACTTAGTGAAATTTTTTGCAATTTTCAACTTGTGTCGCACGTAACTCAAAAAGTATTTGACCTAGAGTCATGAAACTTAACAGGAATGTTGATCAGCATGTGAAGTTGTGCACCTGGGTATTTTTGTCTGGATAATTTTAGTACTTTTAGAGTTATTGCCCTTGACTTAGTAAAATTTTGCAATTTTCAACTTGTGCCGCATGTAACTCAAAAAGTATATGACCTAGAGTCATGAAACTTTACAGGAATGTTGATCAGCATGTGTAGTTGTGCACCTGGGTATTTTTGTCTGGATAATTTTAGTATTTTTAGAGCTATTGCCCTTGACTTCGTAAAATTTTGCAATTTTCAACTTGTGTCGCATGTAACTCAAAAAGTATTTGACCTAGAGTCATGAAACTTTACAGGAATGTTGATCAGCATGTGTAGTTGTGCACCTGGGTATTTTCATCTGGATATTTTTGGTATTTTTAGAGTGATTGCCCTTGACTTAGTAAAATTTTGCAATTTTCAGCTTGTGTCGCATGTAACTCAAAAAGTATTTGACCTAGAGTCATGAAACTTTACAGAAATATTATTCAGCATGTGTAGTTGGCACCAGGTATTTTCGTCTGGATTAATTTAGTATTTTTAGAGTGATTGCCCTTGACTTAAAAATTTTTGCAATTTTCAACTTGTGTCGCATGTAATTCAAAAAGGATTTGACCTAGAGTCATTAAACCTCACGGGAAGGTTGCTCAGCATATTTAGTTTTGCACCTGGGGTTTCGCTTGTGGATTTTTCCAGTATTTGTAGAGTTATTTCCCTTGACTTAGTTAAAAACGTTTCATTATGTTGTTATTTGTTCCTTGAGTGCTTGAGTTAGAATCAACAAACTTTACAGGACTAATGATCAACATCACTAAATTACAGGAATAATAATTCACATCACTGTGAAGCTATGCACCTGAGACTTTGCATGTGGATTTTTTTCAGTTTTGTTAAAGTAATTGCCCTTGACTTACAGTAGTATAAATTTACAATTTTCAACTTGTTCATGCATTAAGCTCAAAAAGTATTTCACTTGTGGGCCTGAAAGTTTACAAGAATGTTGGTCAGCATGTGTACTTATGCACCTTGGGGTAAGCTTGTGGATTTATTCAGTATTTGTAAAGTTCTTGCCCTTTACTTAGTAATAGATTTTTAGTTTTCAAAAAATATTTGACTTAGAGTCAGAAGATTGACAGAAGAGTGGTGCAGTGGGGGCACTGGTGTCCTATGGAAACATTTCTAGTTTGCATAATTATGCCCCTTTTTCGACTTAGAAATTCTTGGTTAAGCTTTTGCGTGTAAGCAGTTATATTCATATCTACTGAAACGTTTTTGCCTTTTAGTGCCCCCACGTTAGTGGCGGGCATTTAGATTTACCCTTGTCCGTCTGTCCTTCCGTCAGTCCTTCCGTCCGTCCGTTCACTTTTGTGTCGCATGTAACTTAAAAAGAATTTGACCTAGAGTCATGAAACTTTACAGGAATGTTGATCAGCATGTGTAGTTGTGCACCTGGGTATTTTCGTCTGGATATGTTATTGCCCTTGACTTAGTAAAATTTTACAATTTTCAACTTGTGTCGCATGTAATTCAAAAAGTATTTGACCTACAGTCATGAAACTTTACAGGAATGTTGATCCGCATGTGTAGTTGTGCACCTGGGTATTTTTGTGTGCATATTTTTAGTATTTTTAGAGTTATTGCCCTTGACTTAGTAAAATTTTGCAATTTTCAACTTGTGTCGCACATAACTCAAAAAGTATTTGACCTAGAGTCATGAAACTTTACAGGAATGTTGATCAGCATGTGTATTGTGCACCTGGGTATTTTTGTCTAGATATCTTTAGTATTTTCAGAGTTATTGCCCTGGACTTAGTAAAATTTTGCAATTTTCAACATGTGTCGCACATAACTCAAAAAGTATTTGACCTAGAGTCATGTAACTTTACAGGAATATTGATCAGCATGTGCAGTTGTGCACCAGGTATTTTCGTCTGGATTTATGTAGTATTTTTAGAGTTATTGCCCTACACTTAGAAATTTTTTGCAATTTTCAACTTGTGTTGCAAGTTTCTCAAAAAGGATTTGACATAGTCAATAAACCTTATGGGCAGGTTGCTCAGCATATTTTAGATTTGCACCTGGGGTTTCGCTTGTGGATTTATCCAGTATTTGTAGAGTTATTTCCCTTGACTTAGTAAAAAGATTGACAGAACAGTGTCGCGGTGGGGACACCCGTGTCCTATGGACACATTTCTAGTTTTGGGACAATTTTATGCATTTATAATAATAAAGCAGTGATTTACTTGATAAAACATCTTTATAACAAGCCTTTGTACCTTTTTGGACAATTTTTATGTATTCATTAGGTAAGCATTATTATACTCAATGAAACGCCCTTGTGACAACTTTTTTGAAGATGAGCATCGCAGTCCTCTGACAGTTCTTGTTTAATTCTGCAAATCAAATGATTTTCTACGGCTACTTATCATGCTTTTAGTACATAAATATCCTCTGATAATTTAACGGTGATATGTTAGTGTTTCTGTATATTCTTATGTGGATTAACGCATCATCACAACAATTTAACAGTCATCCCCTTAATCTATCCAGACTTGAAAAATAATTGTCAGTTATCAATATTTTTATTTTAATAAACAGATTGATGTTAGAGTAAGATATTTGCTACAAACATTATTTGATTATTAATGAGCTCACCTGAGCACAAAATGCTCATGGTTTACTAATGTGAACCCTTAGTCAACAGTTTCTTTTAACAACATCTCCTCTAAAACCAAAGAGTGCACATTAACCAATTTTTACAGGAATAATTCTTGGGTGGTCCTTTTTCAAAAGTGTTCAAATGGTTCTGGTGTGTTGTATAAGTAGGTCAAAAGAAAAGTTTCAAAAATCCAAATTTTAAAAAAATCTTCTTGTCTAAAAGTACATGGTCCAGAGCTTTAATATTTGGTATAAGTTATCATCTATAGGTCCTCCTTTTGTACCAAAGTTGTTCAAAATTTGCCTATAGTGTCCAAATTGCCCCCACCCAAGGAGTCATAGGGTTTTCTTATATTATGTATATGGTAAAATCTTAAAAAGTCCTCTCCTCTGAAATGACAAATGCTAGAGGTTAGATATTTGGCATGAAACATTGTGCAATTGACCTCTTCCAAGTTTGTTCAAATTTTAGCACTGGGGTGAAAGTGGCCCTGCTTTAGGGTCTTTGATTTTTATTATGTACATTAAGTACAAATTTTTTCCCTGAAATGACATAGGCTAGAGCTAATATATTTGGCATGAAATATTGTCTAGACCTCTATCAAAGTTGTTGAAATCATGCCTCTTGTGTCAAAATTTGTCTTTCCCCAGTTGGTCATAGGTTTTATTTATATGTTTATAGTAAAAACTTAAGAAATCTTCTCCTTTGAAATGAGAAAGACTAGAGGTTAGATATTTGGCATGAGACGTTGTGTAGTTGACTTCTACCAAGTGTGACTAAAACAGATGGGTTTAACAGTAATATAAAAAAGGAGTTAAACAAAGTTCATGTACAAACACATCATAATGATTAATAAATGATTTTGTTTAAACTAAATACTCTAAAAAAAGCACATTCACTAACATGATCACATTTTGAACAATTGTAGAGATACGTACACATGGTGTTGGGTATTACAAGTTTGATAGAGAGGAAAATGTCAGAAAAGAACAGATGGAACAACTAAATAAACTGAGACAAGAGGTAACATAATACGTTCATAGTGTGATCTTTTATGAAGATATAACAAAAACCTTATCGTGTTATACCTTTTTGTGTTGCCTGCTACTGAGTAGCAGCGTCATATAGGGATCATTATCCCCGTTGATGGAATCGGGAGAGGGATATTGTTTTGGCGTTTGTTTGTCCATCCCTCCGTTCGAATTTTGTTTCCGTGCTATTTCTCTGCAACTAATGGCTGGAATTCAATTAAACTTTATGGGAACCATCAATACCAAGAGGAGGTGCGCATATCGCTGCCTTGTTTCTGTCAGACTTATTATCACAGATTTATAGCCCTTGATTAGTTATGCAGTATGCATATGAAGCAATAGTCGTTTCCGCACTATTTCTCTGCAGCTACTGGCAGGAATTCAATGAAACTTTATGAGAACCATCAATACCAAGAGAAGATGAGCAGATAGTTGCCTTGTTCATGTCAGACCCTTCATCATACAGTTATGCCCCTTGATTAGTTAGCAGAATGCATACAGAACAATAATAGTTTCTTTGCTATTTCTCTGAAACAACTGGCTGGAATTCAATGAAACTTTATAGGAACCATTAATACTAAGAGGAGATGCACATATTGTTGCTTTATTCCGGTCAGACCCTTGAGCATAGAGTTATGGCCCTTGATTAGTTATGCAGTATGCATATAGAGCAGTACTCATTTCTGTGCTATTTCTTTGCAACTACTGGCAAAAATTAAACAAAAATTTTTTTATTGGAACCTTCAATACCAAAACGAGATGAGCATATCATCGCCTTGCTCCAGTCAGACCACTCAACACAGAGTTATGGCCCTTGATTAGTTATGTAGTATGCATATAGAGCAATAATCATTGTGGCGCTATTTCTATGCAAATTTCTATGCAACTTCTGGCTGTAATTCAAGAAAACTTTATAGGAACCATCAATACGAGATGTGCATATAATGGCCTTGTTCCAGTCAGACCCTTCAACACAGAGTTATGGCACTTAATTTGTTATGCAGTATGCAACTACTGGCTGGAATTCAAGAAAATTTTGTGGAAACAATCAATACCAATAGGAAATGAGCATATGGCCATCTTGATACTGTCAGACCCTTCAACACAGAGTTATGGCCCTTGATTAGTTATGCAGTATGCATATAGAGCAAAAATCGTTTCCGTGTGCTATTTCTCTGCAACTACTGACTGGAATTCAATTAAACTTTATGGGAACCATCAATACCAAGACAAAATAGTGACATTTCATTAATAAAATGGGTTTCATATTCTTATTTTGATGTCTTCATACAAAAGGCTAGGTTCACTATATGTGAAAAAATGCCCTGTTTCAGAAATTCATCAAAATTTCAGCAAAGATTAATATTTTTGTGTTGAATAAGAAACAAGAACAACTTAGGCATTTTTATGCCCCAACAAGGTTGGGGGCATATAGTGTTGCACTTGTCCGTCCGTACGTCTGTCTGTCCGTTCGTCCATCCGTCCGAATTTCGTTTCCGGAGTAGTTCTCTGCAACTACTGGCTGGAATTCAACGAAACTTTATGGGAATCATCAATATCAAGAGGAGATGCGCATATCGTCAGCTTGTTCTGGTCAGACCCTTTAACTCAGAGTTATGGCCCTTGATAAGTTATGTAGAATGCATATAGATTAAAATTTTGTTTCTGGTGTAGTTCTCTGCAACTACTGGCTGGAATTCAACGAAACTTTAGGCGAATCATCAATATCAAGAGGAGATGCACATATCTTCGGCTTGTTCTAGTCAGACACTTTAACTCAGAGTTATGGCCCTTGCTTAGTTATGTAGTATGCATATAGAGTAAAAATTGTTTCCGGAGTAGTTCTCTGCAACGTAACTGACTGGAATTCAACGAAACTTTATGGTAATAATCAATACCAAGAGGAGATGCGCATATCGTCGGCTTGTTCTGGTCAGACCTTTTAACTCAGAGTTATGGCCCTTGATTAGTTATGCAATATGCATATGGAGTAAAAATCGTTTCCGGTGTAGTTCTCTGCAACTAATGGCTGGAATTCAACGAAACTTTAGGGGAATCATCAATACAAAGAGGAGATGCGCATATCGCCGGCTTGTTCGGGTCAGACACTTTAACTCAGAGTTATGGCCCTTGATTAGTTATGCAGTATCCATATAGAAAAATATTTGTTTCGTCGCTACTTCTCTGCTACTACTGGCTGGAATTCAATGAAACTTTATGGGATACTAAGAGGAGATATGCATATAGTCGCCTTGTTCCAGTCAGATACTTATAACTCAGATCTATGGCCCTTGATTAGTTATGTAGTATGCATACATCTCATTGTCAATTCCAGATTTTACAATTTAACACAAAGTTATGGCCCTGTTATTGCCCTGAATATTTATCAAGTTCAAAGAATATTACTGTTTATGTACTTATGCACCTTGGGAATTGCTTGTGGATTTATTCAGTATTTGTAAAGTTTTTGCCCTTGACTTGGTAAAAGATTTTTAGTTTTCAACTTATGCCACATGTAGCCCAAAAAGTCATAAGATTGACAAAACAGTGGAGGGGGGGGGGGGGGAACCCGTGTCCTAAGGAGACATTTCTAGTTTTTTTAATTTTTATCATTTTAAAAAGTAACAAAAAAAACATTATTTTTGAATGACTAATGATTGTCTATATACTTGATTCAGACAAAAGATGAGAGGTCAAAAAGTGAGAGAATTAAGGAAAAGAGGAAAGCTGCACTAGCTGCAAGATTAGCTGTGGTAAAACATAGGAAGAGAGTGAAATTAGGTCTACCAGAATGTGACCATGGTAAAAATTTTTCAATAATGAAGGAAAATTTGCTGTATTTTGTATTCAAGCAATGAGCAGTTGATAAATTCATGTAATAGAAAAGTCCTGTTTTAATAAGTGATAAGTAAATTTACTTAATTTATTTATGTATGAGTATAGATTTTTATTTAACATGTATTTCAAGTTATTGTCAAGTTCCTCAGGGAAATGACAATTGAACCATGGTTACTAGTTCTCTCATACAGAGTGGATAGGTGTTTGGAAGATTAAACAATATTCTCATTAAGTAAAAACCAGATGTTATATTTATTATACCCATAGGTGGTAGCTTGAGTCAGCTGGTTGTCCATTGCAGATTTCTTATCTGAGACATGACTCTGTAGTTGTATACCTGTGTATTTTTGTGTGGATATATTCAGTATTTTTAGAGTTATTGGCCTTGAATTAGTAAAAATTTCCAATTTTCAACTTGTGTTGCTCGCATGTAACTAAAAAGTATTTGACCTAGAGTCATGAAACCTTACAAGAATGTTGCTCAGCATGTGAAGTTTTGCACTTGTGTAACTCAAAAAGTATTTGACCTAGAGTCATGAAACCTCACTAGAATGTTGCTCAGCATGTTTAGTTGTGCAGTTGGGTATTTTCGTGTGGATATTTTTAGTATTTTTAGAGTTATTGCCCTTGACTTAGTAAAAATTTGCAATTTTCAACTTGTGTTGCACGAAACTCATAAAATATTTGATCTAGAGTCGTGAAACCATACAAGAATGTTGCTCGGCATGTAAAATTGTGCACCTTGGTATTTTAATGTGGATATTTTTAGAGTTATTACCCTTGACTTAGTAAAAATTTGCAATTTTAAACTTGTGTTGCACGTAACTCATAAAATATTTGACCTAGAGTCATGAAACCTTACAGGAATGTTGATCAGCATGTGTAGTTGTGCACCTGGGTAAATTTGTGTGGATATATTTAGTATAACGTTATTGCCCTTGAATTAGTAAAAAATTCCAATTTTCAACTTGTGTCGCTCGTAACTAAAAAAGTATTTGACCTTGAGTCATTAAACTTTACAGGAATGTTGCTCAGCATGTTAAGTTGTGCACAAGGGGTTTGGCTTGTGGATTTATTCTGTTACATTATTTCGGCGGCATAGCATTTTTATATGTCTGAAAGAATTTCTGGCATATTGTGTTATACCCCCTGGTGTCCGTCCGTCAGTCTGTTTGTCTGAGCAAACATTTTGGGTTTAGGGGCTATATAACACTAAAGAGAACAAAAGAGAACAATAGGTTCATTCCGTGATCAAAGGGTTTATGGGCTAGTAGCCCTTAAGAAAACAAAGAAAATAACAAAGAAAATAGCCCCTAAACCCAAAATGTTGGAACGTCCGCTCTCACAGGACAGTAATTATATAGCTACTCTATTGTTCTTTCTATAGTTCTTTTTAGCCACACAAAAGCATTACAGAATGAATGACATCAAAGAGAAAGAACATTTACCTATTGTCCTTCTAGCCACATAATTTCTATTCTGTGAGTGCGTCTGTCTGTCTGTCCGTTAGCAATTTGGTTTTCGGAGCATAACTTATGTTCCATTTGGCCCACAGTATTCAAACTTCATAGGATGATTGTCCATATTGGATAGAAGACCCCTATTGATTTTAGGTTCACAAGGTCAAAGATCAAGGTCACTATTATCTTAAAACTGAAAACAGTTTCCGCTCAATAACTAAGTATTATTCAACATACAGCTGTAAAATTTTATTGGATGAACAGCCATGTCCAATACATGATCCCTATTGATTTTAGGGTCATAAGGTCAAAGGTCACGGTCACAATGATCTTTACACTGAAAATTGAGGTTTCTTGAGCATAACTTAAGTTCCATTCGGACTACAGTGTTCAAACTTCATAGGATGATTGTCAATATTGAGTAGAAGACCTCTACTAATTTTTGGGTCCCAAGGTCAAAGGTCAAGGAAACTATTACCTTAAAACTGAAAACGGTTTTCACTGAATTACTTAAGTATAAGTCAACCTTTAGCTGCAAAATTTTATAGGATGAACAACCATGTTCAATACATGAACCCTAATGATTTTAGGGTCATAAGATTAAAGGTTAGCGTCAAAATGACCTTAGCACTGAAAATTGTGGTTTCTGGAGGTAACTTAAACAATATTCATGAAAAAAAGCTGTGATGTATAAAATGCATATAAAGGAACACAAGTTTCATTAGGCTTTTAGTGTTCAAACTTCATGACGATTGCCTATATAGAATAAAAGATCCATATCAGTTTTTGGGTCACAAGATCAAAGGTTAATATCAAATGACCTGAACTTAAGATAATTGTTCTTTGTTACACTCACAACATGTATGAAAATGTTCATAAGTCTTGTATCTTAATTTCTTTAGTATAAGAATTTTGCATTTAAAAATGTTATATACTGACTTATGACAGACTTATGAATTGCTTGCAATACTATGATAATTGCTTGTTTATTCTAACTTCTTTAATTTTTGGCAATATTGCACAGGTGCATATCTGTGTCAAGTGAAGCATAACAGCCGTCACGTCCTAGTTATCTGGTGAAAACTGCAAATTTTACTTCTATGCATATTAAGTAACTAAACAAATATGTTTCGTATGGGAGGGTATCTGTAAGGGAATTATTTTAGACTTCAAATATGTTTCTTGTCACCACCCGGCAGTGTTAATAACTCTAGCAGCCATTTCATCAGAATAACCCCACTTGAACATAAATTTTCATTAAAAAATGTTGATTTTTTTCTATGACTTTTACTTCTTAACCCTTTACCTCATATATACGCGAAACAGCGCTTTTTTGACCCCCCCCCCTTTTTTTAGGCCTGAAATAGTGAAAAAATGTCCTATTTGGGCCCCAAACACGTTTTAGTTTGAGCAGTGTTGCTAAAAAAAGTGAGCACTTTTTCAGCGCCACCCCCCATCCAAAAGATACATCAGGGGGTTGCAAGAAGGGGGAAAATTTTGGACTTGTGAGAGGCTTAAAATGACCCCAGGTCGATCATAAGGTAACATGTAACCAACGCTGAAAAGCCTTTGACTCTATCTCAATCCCTTGAGAAGTTGCAGCACTTTGAAATAAATTTTGATGGAAAAAATCGAGTCAAAAAAGTGATTTTTGGCAATTTTGAGATGTCCCCTCGTTGCCATGGTAACAGGAAATTTAAGACTGATCATGTCGTTACAAAGGCAATGGTCCAGTCAACATTTGTGCCAAGTTTGATTAGTATTGAAGCATTTTTCATAGTTTCATAGCAGTTTGAACTTGTAAGAGGAGGCTTTTCAGTGAAAATGGCCATTTTTCACAATATGCTCATGGGGGAAAGAATTAAGATATCTTCTTGGAACTTATTAATATAAGTTCCCTCACTAAAATATATCCCTTATCATCACCCAAAAAAATGGGGTGCCTGTGGCCGAGTGACTTAAAGGTTGTTGACTTCCAAACCACATACCCCTCACTTCTGAGGGTTCAAATCTTTATAGTGACTTGGGATTCTTTCATGTGAGGAAGCTATTCAGCTAGCTTATGGAACGTTGATGGTTATACTCCGGCGAAAATGGAAGGCAGGTTTTTCTTAACATATAACATATTATGAAGTATTTCTAAGTAATGTTTCAACAAATAAAAAAAATGTAACTTTTGATTTTACATTAGAGGATGTAAATTCAGATGAAGATATAGGAGTAAATGTTGAAGAAAAGGGGAAGAAAGAGCCTGAACCTTTAACTAGAGATGATAGGTGGAGAGCTACAGGAAACTCCAATAGAGACTGGGATAAAGGAAAACATTGTAAGTTGTTATACATTTTGTATTCTGCTGGTTTCAAGTCATATCAATTTTGTAATAATCATTTCGGTATTTCTCAGCTTTGCAAGGCACCAGATGCCATTTTGTGTAGTTTATAAGGTGAGAGCTAGCACAGAGATTCCACAACTAGCCTTAACAAATTCATATACTTTTTTCTCACTATTGTTCTTTCAAAGGTGAAGTGAAGAAAGGCATGTCTATTGTACATAGTAGTTAATGTCTGTAGTGTCTGAAATTGGCTCCACATGACCTAAACTGTGTTGGTTGGCCATAAAACCAAACCAACAAGAATTTGTGTAACCAAGGTCCCAAGATTGAGGTATGGATCTCGGGACTTCCAGTCCAAAATTATGATCAATGCTAGATCTGCAAATGCGATAATAAATTATTAGTCCCCTACCTGTATTATCGGAGGGGACTTTAGGTTTACCCTTCGTCCGTCTGTCTGTCAGTCCGTCCGTCCACAAAACTGGATCCCAAGATAAAGCAAAAAGTACTGAAAATATTTTTATGAAACTTAAGATATGGATAAATGGCAGTATGGAGATTATGCACATCTTTTTCTTTTCTTCCTATGTTGAAAATTCTGGTTGCTATGGCGACAAATAGACTGAATTTCAAGATTTCTGATTTGAATTTTTACCCTTTTTCACGATAAGTTCTTTATTTCTTAAGGTGTTTACTTCAAACTTTAAATATAAGTTTCTGGTCATCAACCACATTATATGTGACAAGGTTTACAACTCTAGCACAAAAATTATCAGAATTACCTCCCTTGAACTTAGAATTTTTATGAAAATAATGTTGTCTTTTTTAAATAACTTTTTTATTTCTTAATGTATCTACTTCAAACTTCATATATATGTTTCTTACTATCACTCAACATATGCCAGAAGGTTAAATACTCTAGCAAGATTATTTCTAGAATTATGTCCCCCTTGAACTTAGATTTTTTTCGAGAAATTGGTATTTTTTACTCCAACTTCTTCATTCCTTATAGGATTTACTTTAACATCCCACATCATAATAAAATGACAAGGTTCCATATTTCCAGAATTATCTCCTCCTTAAACTTTCAATTTTTCTTATTCATTCTTTAATTTTCTTATTTCTTCATGGATTTTCTTTAAATTCAAAATAAACATTCATTATCAACACCTACATTTTATTTTTTTTTTAACTTTCATCTTTGTTACTTACTATACATTATAGTTAATGCTATATTTGAAAATTGTTATTTTTTTTACTTATCTCCTTTGTGACTATAAATGGTATCTTTAAACTTAAAGTAAAACTCACATCAATGTTCATAAATCTAGCATCTTTATTTCAAGAGTTATATCTCCTCTTTAAGAATTTTGTATTGAAATATGTTATATTTTGGTAACAGGAATGTTTAAAAAAATAACTTAAGAGTCTCCCTCAGTCTGTCTGTCTGTCTGGTCATAAAAACTGTTGCAAGGGGGACTTATAGATTGCTTGCAATACTATGATAGTTGCTTGTTCAAGAAATAAAATGAAACACTGAATTTAAAAATCTATCATATTAAGCTTTGACCTCTAAGTGTGACCTTGACCTTGGAGTGCAAATGTTGTGCATGACATATCGTCTAATTATTGTTAGTATTTGTGCCAAGTATTTTCAAAATCCCTTGAACTACGAAGAAGTTATAGATCAGAAAACAAAATACACCCTATAACAGACTATGTTAATCTTTGACCTCTAAGTGTGACCTTGGAGGTAGGGACCCATGTTTTTCACCTGACATATTGTCTTTATATTGTGTTTTTAGAGTTATTGCCCTTGACTTCGTAAAAAATTGCAATTTGCGACAACTCAAAAAGAATTTGACCTAGAGTCATGAAACTTTACAGGAATGTTGATCAGCATGTGTAGTTGTGCATTTGGGTATTTTCCTGTATTTTCCTTTATTTAGTATTTATAGAGTTATTGCCCTTGACTTCGAAATTTTTTGCAATTTTCAACTTGTGTCGCATGTCACAAAGTGACAGGGTGAGCTTTTGTGATAGCATTTCGTCCGGCGTCCGGCCGTCCGTAAACTATTACTTTAAATGACATCTCCTCATAAACCACTAAGCCAATTTCATCCAAACTTCACAGGAATGTTCCTTTGGTGGTCACCTTTAAAAATTGTTCAGAGAATTTAATTCCATGCAGAACTCTGGTTGCCATGGCAACCCTAAGAATTTGACCTAGAGTCATGAAACTTTACAGGAATGTTGATCAGCATGTATAGTTGTGCATTTGGATATTTTCCTGTATTTTCCTTTATTTAGTATTTTTAGAGTTATTGCCCTTGACTTAAAAAAAATTTGCCGTTCGCAAACTTGTACTTCTATCATAACTTTTTTAGTTCTTGGTGTATTGTCTTCAAACTTGGCCACAACAACCCTTAGGATAAAACCTTTCAGTAGACCACACTAACCTTGACCTTTATACATAAATGACCTTGACCTTCAAGGTCATAAGTCCAAATTTTTGCTTGTTCTTGCTATTATAGGCTGTAATTTTGTTATTTTTGAATGGATTGTCCTCAAACATGGACTTAATAATCTTCAAGGATAGCCCTTAAAAATACCAGACAGACCTTGACCTTCACTCATAAATGACCTTGACTTTGAAGGTCAAATTATTGAAGTTTTTATTTTTTTGGCTATTATTGGCTGTTATTTTTGAATAGATTGTCTTCAATCTTGGACATAATAATCTTCAAGGATAGCCCTTAAACTATAACCAGACAGACCTTGACCTTCACTCATAAATGACCTTGACTTTGAAGGTCAAATTATCGAAATTTTTGGGCGTCCGTGGCCGAGTGGTAAAGGTCGTTGACTTCAAACCACTTGCCCCTCACTATTGTGGGGTCGAATCCCAACAGGGACTTTGGATTCTTTCATGTGAGGAAGCTGTCCAGCTAGCTTACTGAACGTCGGTGGTTCTACTCAGGTGCCCGTTCGTGCCTGAAATAATGCACGGAAGAGCACCTGAGGTCTTCCTCCACCAGTAAAGCTGGAACATCGCGATATGACCTATACTGTGTCGATGTGATGTAAAAACCCAAAACAAACATTTTTTATATGCCCGAAAGGGCATATTATGTTATACCCCCTGGCGTCCGTCTGTCTGTCCGTCCGTTAGCAATTTGGTTTCCAGAGCATAACTTAAGTTCTTTTTGGCCCACAATGTTCAAACTTCATAGGATGATTGCCCATATTGGGTAGAAGACCACTATTGATTTTGGGGTCAAAAGGTCAAAGGTCAAGGTAACTATGACCTTAAAACTGAAAACAGTTTCCGGAGCATAACGTAAGTTCCAATTGACCCACAATGTTCAAACTTCATAGGATGATTGTCCATATTAGGTAGAAAACCCCTATTGATTTTGGGGTCAAAAGGTGAAAGGTCATGGTCACTTTGACCTTAAAACTGAAAACAGTTTCCGGAGCATTACTTAAGTTCCATGTTACCTACAATGTTCAAACTTCATAGGATGATTGTCCATATTGGGTAGAAGACCCCTATTGATTTTTGGGTCACAAGGTCAAAGGTCAAGGTCACTTTTTCCTTGATACTGAAAACAGTTTCCAGAGCATAACTTAAGTTCCAATTGACCCACAATATTCAAATTTCATAGGATGATTGTCCATATTAGGTAGAAGACCCCTATTGATTTTGGGGTCAAAAGGTCAAAGGTCAAGGTCACTGTGACCTTAAAACTGAAAACAGTTTCCAGAGCATTACTTAAGTTCCATTCCACCCACAATGTTCAAACTTCATAGGATGATTGTCCGTATTTGGTAAAAGATCCCTATTGATTTTTGGGTCACAAGGTCAAAGGTCAAGGTCACTATTACCTTAATACTGAAAACAGTTTCCGGAGCATAACTTAAGTTCCAATTGACCCACAATGTTCAAACTTCATAGGATGATTGTCCATATTGAGTAGAAGACCCCTATTGATTTGTGGGTCAAAAGGTCAAGGTCACTATATCCTTAAAACTGAAAACAGTTTCCAGAGCATAACTTTAGTTCCATTTGGCCCACAATATTCAAACTTCATAGGATGATTGTCCATATTGAGCGAAAGACCCCTATTGATTTTGGGGTAACTAGGTCAAAGGTCAAGGTCACAATTACCTTTAAACCAAGAACAGTTTCTGGAGCATAACATAAGTCACAATATTCAAACTTCATAGGATGATTTTCCATTTTGGGTAGAAGACCCCTATTGATTTTGGGGTCACAAGTTCAAAGGTTAAGGTCATTATTATTAACTAAAGGTCAAAGGTCAAGGTCACAATTACCTTAAAACCAAAAACAGTTTCCGGAGCATAACGTGAGTTCAATTTTGGCCCACAATATCCAAACTTTATAGGATGATTTTCCATATTGGGTAGAAGACTCCTATTGATTTTGGGGTCACAAGGTCAAATTCACTTTTGCCTTAATACTGAAAACAGTTTCTAGAGCATAATAAAAGTTCCAATTGGCCCACAATATTCAAACTTCTTAGTATGATTGTCCATATAAGGTAGAAAACCCCTATTGACTTTGGGGTCACAAGTTCAAAGGTTAAGGTCATTATTATTAACTTAAGTATTAATCAACCTACAGCTGTTAAATTTTATAGGATGAACAGCGAATTCCTATGTCTTACAAATGCTTCATCCTTACTTAAAAAAAAAACACTTTCGGGCATATAATGCTCCGCCTAGCGGTGCTCTTGTTTGGCTGTTACTGGCTGTAACATTGCTTTTATTGAATGGATTGACTTAATATTATAACAGAACATTCTTAAGGACAAGACCTTGATGTGTATCAAACTCAAATTGACTTGGCCTCTTTATTGACCTTGAAGGTTAAAATACTGAATTTTCACTGATTTGTGCATTAAATGACCATATAATATTTATTGGTGTGTATGTATAAATATATATATTGCTTATATATAATGAGTGTGTGTATATATATAAAAGAAGTTTGATTCCTTGTGTGGATCTCATGTATAAAAAAGTATGTTTTGGGAAATGCAGAGTACAAAGTTCGTTAATTTTTTATATGTTTATTTCTGTTAGCGCTTTCAAATGTTTCTACATATCTTCAGATATATAATACATATTTGTCTTTTTCTTTTCTTCTTCTGTAATACACATGCGGATATATATGAAAAGGATTCATACTTTGACAAAAGTAATTTGACAAGAAAGACCAATTATAATTATACAAAGGAAACATTAAGATTTGTTCAAACATTACCTTGTTTGTTTTTAGAAAAGGTAAAAAGTCGAGCGTTGCCCCTGCCCGGCGGTGGCTCTTATTTGTGTTTTTTTAGCTCACCTGTCACAAAGTGACAAGGTGAGCTTTTGTGATCACTTTTCGTCCCGCCTCCGCCCATAAATTTTACTTTAAACAACATCTCCTCATAAACAACTCTACCAATTTCAAGGAAACTTCACAGGAATGTTAATTTGGTGGTGACCTTTAAAAATTGTTGAAGAATTTAATTCCATGCAGATAATGGTTGCCATGGCAACCGAAAGAAAAAACTTAAAAAATCTTCTTTTAAAAAACCCAAAGTGCTAGAGCTTAGACATTTAGCATGAATCATCTTCAAATTGGTCTACCTAGTTTGAATAAAGAAAAGCCCTGGGGCGCGGCCAGTTTGGCCACCTTGGGCTTTTATTTGAACAAACTTGATAGAGACCTACTAGAGTTTGTTTGTTTGATTTTCACACCAACGCAGTATAGGTCATATGGAGACGTTCCAGCTTAACTGGTGAAAGGAGACATCAGGTGCCCTTCCACAAATTATTTCAGGCACGAACGGGCACCCGAGGAGAACCACAGATTTATTATGACATTATTTTAAATGATTTCACTACTAGTATTCTATTTTATAAAAAATGAAATATTCAAATTTGGTTGACTATAGTGACCAATGTCATTCAAATTCTTGTAATAAACAATAGCTTTCATTGCTCACAGCCAATAAAAGTCTGTCCTCAGCTGAGCACTTTGGGGTCAATGCTATTTTTGTGCCCCCCCTATAGAGGGGGGGGGGGGTCATTTAGATTTACCCTCGTCCGTCCATCCGTCCCTCTGTTCCCTTTTTGTGTCACACGAAGCTCAAAAAGTAATTGACCTAGAGTCATGAAACCTTACAGGAATGTTGATCAGCATGTGAAGTTGTGCACCTGGGTATTTTCATGTGGATATATTTAGTATTTTTAGAGTTATTGCCCTTGAATTCGAAAAATTTCCAATTTTCAACTTGTGTCGCACGTTACTCAACAAATATTTGACCTAGAGTCATGAAACCCTACTGGAATGTTGATCAGCATGTGTAGTTGTGCATCTGGGTATTTTTAGAGTTATTGACTTGAATTAGTAAAAATTTCCAATTTTCAACTTGTGTCGCACGTAACTATAAAAAGTATTTGACCTTGAGTCATGAAACCTGACAAGAATGTTGCTCAGCATGTGTAGTTATGCACCTGGGTATTTTCGTGTGGATATATTTAGTATTTTTACAGTTATTGCCCTTGACTTAGTAAAAATTTCCAATTTTCAACTTGTGTCACACCTAACTAAAAAAGTATTTGACCTAGAGTCATGAAACCTTACTGAAATGTTGATCAGCATGTGTTGTTGTGTTCTTGGGTATTTTCATGTGGATATATTTAGTATTTTTAGAGTTATTGCCCTTGACTTAGTAAAAATTCACAATTTTCAATTTGTGTGACACGTAACTCAACAAATATTTGATCTGGAGTCATAAAACCATACAGGAGTGTTGATCAGCACGTGTAGTTGTGCATCTGGGTATTTTCATGTGGATATATTTTTTTATTTTTAGAGTTATTGCCCTTGAATTAGTAAAAATTTCCAATTTTCAACTTGTGTAGCATGTAACTAAAAAAGTATTTGACCTATAGTCATGAAACCTTACAGGAATGTTGCTCAGCATGTGTAGTTGAGCACTTGGGTATTTTCTTGTAGATATTGTTAGTATTTTTAGAGTTATTGCCTTAAGTAAAAATTTACAATATTTAACTTTTGTTGCACGTAACTGAAAAAATTTATGACCTGTAGGCCTAAAGTTTACAAGAATGTTGGTCAGGAAGTGTACTTATGTACCTTGGGGTTTTCTTTTGGCTTTATCAGTATTTGTAGTATTTGCCCTTTACTTAAGGTATTAGCACCCTAATGCATTACCTCCGCGTTGAAGAGTATTCAAATAGGCTAGAATTAAAGTTAACTACATTGAAAATGAGGGCCATGGGTTCTACCCCCAGAAGGGTCAACTTTTTTTTTTCTTTCTTTTTTTCTTTTAACATTATTTATGTATCTCTCATGTCCTATATGGAAAGAAAAAAGTGTTTAATTTTGAATTTTTAATTTATTTAGGTATTTATTGGCTAAATTGTGCTAAATCTAGTAATAAATATGGTACCTGATATTTTCAAAGTGTAATATAATCAAAACTAGACGGTAAAAGTATTTCATATTTTACAAGATCAACCAATATACTTTTTAAAAAATTTAGGGAAACTTTGAAAACAGGCACTCATTTGGGTAAATTTTAAGAATTTTTTGAATTAGGCTCCCTTAGTAGAAAAATGGTCAGACATGTGGTAAAAATGGGTGGGGTAGGGTAACATTTTTATACAGATTTCATAAATTTTAAGTAGCAACTATAATTTTGCTTATTTGGATTGTTAGCTGAATGGTACCATTTGTTTCTTACCAAAAATTCATGGGAAAACATTTTTCATTAGAATGTTATTGCAGATTATTTAAAGGTTCCTCATTTCTAAAAAAGGGCCCTCATAACATCCTAGTTTGAGTTCAGAAAAGTGGCCATAACTTGATTTCCGTATGGTGAACTTTGTTTAAATTTTGCATACAGGCGTACTTAAAGGTATACATCTGACCTATGATGTCATTTCTTTAGTTCCTGATAGTGCCCATTAGGGTCCTAATACCTTAATAAAAGATTTTTAGTTTTCAACTTGGGCACATGTAGCACTTTCCAGCTTCACTTGTGGAGGGAAACCTTAGATGCCCACTCCCCCCCCCCCCCTGCATTATTTCAGGCTCAAACTGGCACCTAAGAAAAACCACCAACTGTACACAAATGAAGTGTAATTGCTTCATATATGTTTTTCACATCATCATATTTTTGTCAAATCATTAATAATTACTATTTATTTCTTTTTATTATGTTTTAGTTACCATGGAAAGGTCAGAGGAAGCTTGGCTTGAGAAACTGAGGGCTGACAGAGAAAAGGATTTTGCTCCGCCTTCTTTTTATTATGAGTCTCATAGTTCAAACATAGATAACAAGATCATAGATAGTTCCTCCAAAGTGAAAGAATTGAATGAAAATGCCAAAAAAGATAATGAAATAGAGGCAGTGATTGAAAAACAACTTATTAAAATAAGAAATAAAAACAACCTTGAAACATCTGCTTCATCAGCCACAAATGTTTTTATAGATAGAGATGTTGCCATGTCTGATGAAGCAGAAAATGTAGATAAGAGAACATTAAGAGAACAGTCTTCCTCCCTTAATTTTTTTCAGTTAACCAATATTCCTTCAACGTTTAATAAACTTTCTCCTAATTTTGGCCCTCCTGCCTATGATGCGCCACCTCCAAATATAAATTTTCAACCCCCAAATTTTAGTCTTCCTCCACCAGGATATGTTCAACCTGCTGTTGCCAGCTTTTTGCCAGACCCCATATTGTCACAGGCACCAATACAAGAGACATCTGTGACTTCAGTTGAAACAAATCTTAGTGAAACCTCTAGCTTTGTAATTTCTAAACAAACACAATATATAGAAACACAAGATACAGCAAAGATAAAAAGGAAGTTTGTGCCTAAACTTAGTATTATAGATACCCGGCTGATGGGCGGAGAAGGTGATTGAAATTATGTCAGTGATCTTTTTTTAACTTCACAGGAATGTTCCTTTGGTGGTCACCTTTAAAAAATGTTCAAAGAATTTAATTCCATGCAGAACTCTGGTTGCCATGGCAACCGAAAGAAAAAACTTTAAATATCTTCTTTTAAAAAACCCTAAGAGCTAGAGCTTAGATATTTGGCATGGAACATCTTCTAGTGAGTGTCCACCAAGTTTGTTCAAAAAAAATCCCTGGGGTCAAAATTGGCCCCGCCCCAGGGGGTCATTGATTTTCCCTATATGCATATAGTAAAAACTTAAAAATTCTTCTTTTAAAGAACCCAAAGAGCTAGAGCTAAGATATTCAGCATGAAACATCTTCTAATGAGTGTGTACCAAGTTTGTTCAAATAAAAGCCCTGGGGTCAAAATTGGCCCCGCCCCAGGGGGTGATTGATTTTCCCTATATGCATATAGTAAAATCTTAAAAATTCTTCTTTTAAAGAACCGAAAGAGCTAGAGCTAAGATATTCAGCATGAAACATTTTCTAATGAGTGTGTATCAAGTTTGTTCAAATAAAAGCCCTGGGGTCAAAATTGGCCCCGCCCCAGGGGGTCATTGATTTTCCCTATATGCATATAGTAAAAACTTAAAAATTCTTCTTTTAAAGAACCTAAAGAGCTAGAGCTAAGATATTCAGCATGATACATCTTCTAATGAGTGTGTACCAAGTTTGTTCAAATAAAAGCCCTGGGGTCAAAATTGGCCCCGCCCCAGGGAGTCATTGATTTTCCCTATATGCATATAGTTAAAACTTACAAAATCTTCTTTGAAAGAACTCAAAGAGCTAGAGCTAAGATATTCAGCAGGAAACATCTTCTAATGTGTGTCTACTTAGTTTGTTCAAATAAAAGCCCTGGGGTCAAAATTGGCCCCGCCCAGGGGGTCATTGATTTTCCTTATATGTGTATAGCAAAAACTTAAATAATCTTCTTAGAAAAAACCCAAATAGCTAGAGTTTAGATATTAAGCATGAAACATCTTCTAGTGAGTGTCTACAAAGTTTGTTTAAATAATAGTCCTGTGGTCAAAATTGGCCCCGCCCCGGGGGGTCTTGATTTTCCCTATATATGCATATAGTAACAAACTTAAAAAGTCTTCTTTGAAAAAACCCAAATAGCTAGAGTTTAGATATTAAGCTTGAAACATCTTCTAATAAGTGTCTACAAAGTTTGTTCAAATAAAAGCCCCGGGGTCAAAACTGGCCCCGCCCCAGGGGTGTCACTGTTTTTAACTAGATGTGTGTAGTAAAAACTTACAAAATCTTCTTTTAAAAAACCCAATGAACTAGAGCTTACAGGGGGATGAGATCATTGTTTTTCATTACATGTGTGTAGTAAAAGCTTAACATTGTGAAACATCTTCTAATGAGTGTCTTCCAAGTTTGTTCAAATAAAAGCCCTGGGGTTTAAACTGGCCCTGCTCCGGGGCCTATATACAGGTGAGCGACCTCAGGGCCATCATGGCCCTCTTGTTATCCCCCGCCGAAAAATTTCGGCGGAGGATATAGAAATAGTCTCCGTCCGTCCGACCTTCCGTCCGTCCGTCCTTCCGTCCGACATTTTTGTCCGGAGCATATCTCTATAAGTATTTGAGGTATCAACTTGAAACTTCATAGGTGGATAGACGTCATTGAGGAGGAGTGCAGTGCACAAGAATGATAACTCTACCTTGCATGATTTTTGAGTTATTGCCCTTTGTTATTTTTCAAAATTGATTTTTGTCCAGAGCATAACTCCAAAAGCTTATGAGATACTAACATGAAACTTCATAGGTGCATAGATCTCACTCAGGAGGTGTGCAGTGCACAAGAATGATAATTCTACCTTTCATAATTTTTGAGTTATTGCCCTTTGTTATTTTTCATACCTAATTTTTCACCTGAGTGGAGCATAACTCGAAAAGTGTTTGAGATATCAACATGAAATGTCATAGGTGGATAGATCTTATTGAGGAGGAGTGTTGTGTGCAAGAATGATAACTCTTCCCCATACAATTTTTGAGTTATTGCCCTTTGTTTTTTTATGTTATTTTGTCCAGAGCTTATCTCAAAAAGTATTTGAGGTATCAACTTGAAACTTCAAAGGTGGATGGATCTCATTGAGGAGGAGTGCAGTGCTTAAGAATGATAACTCTACCCTGCATTATTTTTGAGTTATTGCCCTTTGTTATTTTTCAAAATTAATTTTTGTCCAGAGCATAACTCAAAAAGCCTTTGAGATATCAAAATGAAACTTCATAGGTGCATAGATCTCACTCAGGAGGTGTGCACTGCACAAGAATGATAACTCTACCTTTTATAATTTTTGAGTTATTGCCCTTTGTTCTTTTTCATACTTTATTTTTCAATTCAATTTTTTTCTCAAAAAGTATTTGAGGTATCAACTTCAAAACTTCATAGGTGGATAGATTTTACTGAGGAGGGATGCAGCACACAAGAATGATAACCTACCCTGCATTATTTTTCAGTAATTGCCCTTTGTTATTTTCAGCCATCAGTATTCACATAGGTTTCAAATCTGTAATCATTATAGCCATCAGTTTTCATTACCAAAAGACCTCTTAAAATGGAATTATTCCGCTCTACTACATATACATTCTTCCAATGAGCAAACACATTCGGCGGGGGATGGCCATGTTGACATGGCTCTTGTTTATTTTTGTGTTGACTGTCACAGAGTACCAGTGACATATAGGTAACATTTCTCCATTGCCTGTCTGTCTATTTGTTCATCACAAAACTTGTCAACTACTGGTGCAATTTTATGCAAACTATACAGAAATTATCAGTACCAACTTTAGCATATCTTCAGCATTTTTCAGTTCAGTGATTTTTGTCAAGATTTATAGCCCATAAATCATTTTCAAAGCAAAATTTCAAGCTATTGTTATAGTCAGGTTGTTGATACCATAGTCATTGCTATCCAGAAACTTTAACTCTGGCCATTTTAATGTTTTTAGCTCACCTGTGAAAGGGTGAACTTTTGTGATCGCTTTTCATCCGGCATCCGTCCTTCCAGCATTCATAAACTGTTATTTTAAATGACATCATTTTCTTATAAACCACAAAGCCAATTTAATCCAAACTTCACAGGAATGTTCCTTTGGTGGTCACCTTTAACCCTTTCGCTGCCAGAGGGTTATTGTTTTATTTATGAACTATTTTCCAGAAGGTTTTCTAAGAAATTACTATATTGTTAATTAATATAATAATAATTATTATTTGTTATTAGTATTATTATAATTATATATGTTTCAAAATATGCTAGTATAATAATAATTATTGTCGATGGTATAATTTTCTTTATATTTATTATTATTATACGCCCGAGCCGCCTCCATGGTCGAGGGGTTAGAGTCGATGACTTCTAATCCAGTTACCTCTCTGGCGTGGGTTTGATCCCCGGGAGATGCTTTGGTAGTTTAGCGCGGAGGAAGGTAGTCTAGTACTGGTGTAACTCTCCAGGAACGATGGTTAGGAAACTACCCGCCTATATGACTGAAATACTGTTGGAAAAAGGCGTAAAATGAAATAAACCAACAAACAGAAAAACGGGACGTATATTATGGGAACGCCCCTGGCGGGCGGCGGCGGCGGGCGTCGTCCACTTTTGTCCGGAACATATCTCCTACATGTATGGAGGGATTTTAATGAAACTTCATAGAAATGTTCACCACTATGAGGAGCAGTGTCGCGCATATGAACCAGGTCTCTAGGTCAAAGGTCAAGGTCACACTTAGAGCTCATTGAAAAATGCTTGTCCGGAGCAAAACTTCCACATGTAAAGAGGGATTTCAATATTACTTGTGCCAAATGTTCACCATTGTGAGGCGGAGTGTCGCGCGCAAGATTCAGGTCCTTGCGGCCAAGGTCAAGGTCACACATAAAGGTCAAAGTTCAGATAAAAATATGAAGAAGTGTATATGGACCATTTAGTTATCATTTATTGAGGGATTGTAACCCAAATGGTCATTGTCAAGACTTTGGCTGTGATACATATAATTTAGGTCAATATATACAAGGTCAAGGTCACTAAAGATGATGAAATATCCAGATTTTGTCTGGAGCATATCTCCTACATGTATGGAGGGATTTTAATGAAACTTCATAGAAATGTTCACCACTATGAAGAGCAGTGTCGCGCACATGAACTAGGTCTCTAGGTCAAAGGTCAAGGTCACACTTAGAGCTCATTGAAAAATGTTTGTCTGGAGCAAAACTTCCACATGTATAGTGGGATTTCAATATTACATGGCACAAATGTTCACCATTGTGAGGCTGAGTGTCGAGCGCAAGATTCAGGTCCTTGCGGCCAAGGTCAAGGTCACACATAGAGGTCAAAGTTCAGATAAAAATATGAAGATGTGTATATGGACCATTTAGTCATCATTTATTAACCAGGTTTTCAACGAAAACCGGGTTATTGTAATGCCGAAGTCGGTGGGCAGGCTGGCGGGCGGGCAGGCGGGCGGGCGTCAACTTTTGGTTTCCGCTCAATAACTTTAGTTTGCTTTGGCCTATTGACACCAAACTTGGTGTGTAGGTAGCTTATATCAAGAGGCAGCTTGGGATTGCTACCCAGGTGTCTGTGATCAAGGTCAAGGTCACTGTAACTAAAAATAGAAATTCAGTTTCCGCTCAATAACTTGAGTTTGCTTTGGCCTATTGACACCAAACTTGGTGTATGGATAGGTTATATCAAGAGGCAGCTTGGGATAGCTACCAAGGTGTCTGTGATCAAGGTCAAGGTCACTGTTACTAAGAATAGAAATTCAGTTTCCCCTCAATAACTTGAGTTTGCTTTGGCCTATTGACACCAAACTTGCTGTATGGATAGCTGATATCAAGAGGCAGCTTGGGATAGCTACCCAGGTGTCTGTGATCAAGGTCAAGGTCACTGTTACTAAAAATAGAAATTCAGTTTCCGCTCAATAACTTGAGTTTGCTTTGGCCTATTGACACCAAACTTGGTGTATGGATAGCTTATATTAAGAGGCAGCTTGGGATAGCTACCCAGGTGCCTGTGATCAAGGTCAAGGTCACTGTTACTAAAAATAGAAATTCAAGTTCCGCTCAATAACTTGAGATTGCTTTGGCCTATTGACACTAAACTTGGTGTATGGATAGGTTATATCAAGAGGCAGCTTGGGATAGCTACCCAGGTGTCTGTGATCAAGGTCAAGGTCACTGTTACTAAAAAAAGAAATTCAGGTTCTGCTCAATAACTTGAGTTTGCTTTGGCCTATTGACACCAAACTTGATGAATGGGTAGCTTATATCAAGAGGCAGCTTGGGATTGCTACCCAGGTGTCTGTGATCAAGGTTAATGCATTTAGTTTTCATGTTATAACTTGAGTTTGCTTTGACCTTTTGACACCGAACTTGCTGAGTGGTAGCTTTGGATTGCCACTTAAATATCTGGGAGCAAGGTCAAGGTAATTTGCTTACAATAGAATTTTCAGTATCTACTCAATAACTTCAGTGCACTTTGACCTATTGATTGCTGTCACATCAAAACTTGGTCGTTGAAAACCTGGTTTTCGTCGCATTGCGGCGCTTCTTGTTGAGGGATTGTAACACAAATGGTCATTATCAAGACTATGGCTGTGATGCATATAATTAATGTCAATATATACAAGGTCAAGGTCACTAAAGATGATGAAATAATGAGATTTTGTCCGGAGCATATCTCCTACACGCATGGAGGGAATTTAATGAAATTTCATAGAAATGTTCACCATTATGAGAAGCCATGTCAGGCACATGAACTAGGTCAAAGGTCAAGGTCACACTTAGAGCTCATTGAAAAATGCTTGTCCGGAGCAAAATTTCCTGATGCATAGAGGGATTTCAATATAACTTGGCACAAATGTTCACCATTGTGAGACGGAGTGTCACGCATAAAATTCAGGTCCCTGCAGCCAAGGTCAATGCCACACATAGAGGTCAAAGTTTAGATAAAAATATGAAGATGTGTATAGGGACGATTAAATCATCATTTATTGAGGGATTGTAACACAAATGGTCATTATCATGACTACGGCTATGACACATGTACTTTAGGTCAATATATGCAAGGTCAAGGTCACTATAGATGGTGAAATATCTAGATTTTGTCTGGAGCATATCTCCTACATGTATGGAAGAATTTTTATAATACTTTATGGAAATGTTCACCACCATGATGTGTATTGCTCCATGCATGATCCAGGTCAAAGGTCAAGGTCACACTTAGAGCTCATTGAAAAACGCTTGTCCTGAGCAAAACTTCTACATTCATAGGGGGATTTCAATATAACTTGGCACAAATGTTCACCATTGTGAGGCTGAGTGTCGCACGCAAAATTCAGATCCCTGCGACCAAAGTCAAGGTTACACATGGAAGTCAAAGTTCAAATAAAAATTTGAAGATGTGTAAAGGGACCATTTAGTCATCATTTATTGATGGATTGTAGCACAAAAGGTAACTATCATGACTACAGGTGTGACACATTTAATTTAGGTTAATATTTGCAAGGTCAAGGTCACTGGAGATGATTAAATATCCAGATGTTGTCCGGAGCATGTTTTCTACATGCATGGAGGAATTTTGATATTACTTTATAGAATTGTTCACTACCATGAAAAGTAGTGCCCTGCACATGAACCAAGTCTCTAGGTCAAAGGTGAAGGTCACAGTTAGAGGTCATAGCAAAACACTTGTCTGGAGCAAAACTTCTACATACATAGAGGGATTTCAATATAATTTGGCACAAATGTTCATCATTGTGAGGCTGAGTGCCGTGCATAAAATTCAGGTCCCTGCGACCAAGGTCAAGGTCACACATCCTGTGCATATGTTCCCTACTGATTTGTTCTAAGGTTCATTTAACAACACAGTGCCAAGGATAAAAACTTGCTTGCTAGATAACACTTATCCATAATGCCCCCATCTCCATCTAAAGCTTTCGTAAACGGGCGTATTTTGTGACTATGGCACCCTTGTTTTTATTATTATTATTAATTTATTATTATTTTTATGCTCCCCGAAAAATTTCAGGGGAGCATATAGTCGGCGCCTTGTCCGTCTGTCCATCCGTCCGTCCGTCTGTCCGTCCGTTGTCTTGTCCGGAGCATAACTTGAAAACCCTTGGAGATAATTTGTTGAAACTTCATACAGTGGTAGAGGGCATAGAGGGGGAGTGCAGTGTCAAAGAACCATAACTCTATTTTGCCAGGTTTTTGAATTATCTCCCCTTATAGAAAAATCTTGTCCGGGGCATAACTCTAAAACTATAAGAGATATCAACATGAAACTTTGTAGGTGAATAGATCTCAATGGGTAGATGTGCAGTGCATAAGAACAATAACTCTTTTTATCCTAATTTTGGAGTTATTGCCCTTTGTTAATTTTGATACTTTGAACTTTGTCCGGAACATAACTTGAAAACCCTTGGAGATAATTTGTTGAAACTTCATACAGTGGTAGAGGGCATCGAGGGGGAGTGCAGTGTCAAAGAACCATAACTCTATTTTGCTCGGTTTTGAATTATCTCCCTTATAGAAAAATCTTGTCCGGGGCATAACTCTAAAACTATAAGAGATATCAACATGAAACTTTGTAGGTGAATAGATCTCAATGCGTAGATGTGCAGTGCATAAAAACAATAACTCTTTTTGTCCTAATTTTGGAGTTATTGCCCTTTGTTTATTTTTATACTTTGAACTTGAACTTTGTCCGGAACATAACTTGAAAACTCTTGGAGATAATTTGTTGAAACTTCATACAGTGGTTAGGGGCATCGAGGGGGAGTGCAGTGTCAAAGAACCATAACTCTATTTTCTATTTTGGTTTTTGAATTATCTCCCCTTATAGAAAAATCTTGTCCGGGGCATAACTCTTAAACTATAAGAGATATCAACATGAAACATTGTAGGTAGATAGATCTCATTGAGTAGAGGTGCAGTGCAAAAGAACCATAACTCTGTTAAGCCTTATTTTTGAATAATCTCCCCTTTTAGAAAAATCTTGTCCAGGACATAGCTGTAAAACTATAAGAGATATCAACATGAAACTTTGTAGGTAGATAAATCTCAATGGGTAGATGTGCAGTGCACAAGAATCATAACTCTACCTTGCCTAATTCTGGAGTTATTGCCCTTTGTTTATTTTTACTTGTTGAATTGTCCAGGACATAACTCGGAAATCATAAGAGATATCATCAAGAAACTTTGTAGGTTGATAGATCACATTGATTAGAAGTGCAGTGCAAAGAACTGTAACTCTGCCTTGCCTAATTTTGGAATAATTGCACTTTGAACTTTTTCCACGGACATAACTCTGAAACTACAAGAGGTGTACTTTCCTGTGTCCAAAACCTATTCGGGGAGCAAAACCCGGCTCAAACCGGGCTCTTGTTATGATTACTATAGAAACGGCTAAAGCCATCCATATGGCAAATGCGCCGAAAATAACAGGGACGGCTTAAGCCGTCCCTATGGCAGTGAAAGGGTTAAAAATTGTTCAAAGAAGTCCATGTAAAACTCTTGTTGCCATAGCAACCAAAAGAAAAAACTTTAAATACCTTCTTTTAAAAAACCCAAAGAGCCAGCGCCTAGATATTTGGCATAAAACATCTTCTAGTGAGTGTCTACCAAGTTTGTTCAAATAAAAGCCCTGGGGTCAAAATTGGCCCCGCCCCAGGGGGTCATTGATAGTGCTTTATGAAATTGTGATAGATGATCACATTAAATCCTTTTTTAAAAAAATACATTATTTCTCAAATAATATAATCTTAATTATTTGAGAAAAAAATAATTTTTTCTTCAGAAATAAACATTGATATTAATAAAAAAGTAAGAAAAAACCCTACAAACAAAATAGATGTCTTATTCTACAGCATATGAAGTACTTTATGAAATTGTGATTTATGATCTATGGTCACAAGAATTTCAATAAACAAGCGTAAGCCTTAGGCTATAATTCTCAAGTTAACGAGGCCCTTTGAAGTGGTGATATACTGATAATGATCTGTGATTTGATTATTATTAAAATCTGGGAATCCTGCATTATATATCTATATTATTTCCAAATAAAATATGATCTTTTTTCTAATTATAATAAATATGTTCATATGAAGTTGAACGTAAATTATTCAGAAATAAACATTGATATATTGGAGGAAAAAGTTTTTTATCTTTTGTAATACAGCTTACATGACTGTGCCTTTAATATTGAAGTATGTTTTAGCATAGGAAAAAATTCAGTGCAATGTTTCACCAGATTAAAATTAAATTGATGCTGACTGCATAGTCTAAAAATAATTTCAAACATTTGTCACAAAATATCAAGTTTTTGTTATCTTTCTCAATAAATAATTAGTATCCACTATAAGGCCATTGCTCACTAATTACTCGGCTAACAAGCCCCTTTGGTGTGGTAATGTTAATGGATTATCGATTATAAGTAAAATTAGATCTCCTTTTTTAAATTCAAATAATATCTCTAGGTGAAATAAATAACAAAAAAGTCAAAATCTAATTTCAAAAATATCTGTAACATGATGAAAATTCACTGTATCCCACTGTAACCTTGTGTAACCCTTGTATCCCTGTATCCCTTGTCATGTGGGGGTGAAAAATAATTGTGATTTTGTGCCATATATGGAAATTTTTCTTAACAGTTTTCTCAGCAACTACTCATTACAGCCTCTTGATATTTGGTATACAGCATCAACACATGGTCCCATACCAAGGGAGTCGATTTCAGGTCTGTCGCTCATCCTTTTCCTGTTTGTCAACTTAGTTAAATTTTCAACATTAATGGTCAATGGTAGGAAATTTTCGTAACAGTTTTCTCAGCAACTACTTATCACAGCCTCTTGATATTTGGTATGCAGCATCAACACATGGTCCCATACTGTGGGATTTGATTTCAGGTCTGTCGATCATCCACTTCCTGTTTGCCAACTAGGTTGAATTTTCAACATTAATGGTCAATGGTAGGAAATTTTCGTAACAGTTTTCTCAGCTGAGTGAAGTACTTATCACAGCCTCTTGATATTTGGCATACAGCATTGACAGGTAGTCCCATACTGTGGGATTCAATTTCAGGTCTGTCGCTCATCCACTTCCTGTTTATCGACTTAGTTAAATTTTTGACATTAATGGTCAATGGTAGGAAATTTTCGTAACAGTTTTCTCAGCAACTACTTATCACAGCCTCTTGATATTTGGTATACAGCATCAACACATGGTCCCATACTGTGGGATTTGATTTCAGGTCTGTCGCTCATCCACTTCCGGTTTGCCAATTTAGTTAAATTTTCAACATTAATGGTCAATGGTAGGAAATTTTGGTAACAGTTTTCTCAGCAAGTACTTATCACAGCCTCTTGATATTTGGCATACAGCATTGACACATTGTCCCATACTGTGGGATTTGATTTCAGGTTTGTCGCTCATCTATTTCCTGTTTTTTGGACTTGGTTAAATTTTCGACATTAATGGTAGGAAATTTTCGTAACAGTTTTCTCAGTAAGTACTTAACACAGCCTCTTGATATTTGGCATACAGCATTGACACAGGGTTGCATACTGTTGGATTAGATTTCAAGTCTGTCGCTCATCCTTTTACTGTTTATTGACTTAGTTAAATTTCCGACATTAATGGACAATGGTAGGAGGAAATTTTTATGCCACCGCAGCATCTGCGATGCGGTGGCATATAGCGATTCACCTGTGTGTTTGTTTGTGTGTGTGTGTGTGTGTTATATAGATTATATAGTGAACTTAAAAAATCTTCTTGTGAAAAACCACTAGTCCAATTTCAACCAAACTTGGCAGGATTGATCCTTTGGTGAAGGGCTTCCAAAGTTGTTTAAAGAATTTCATTCCATGCAGAAATCTGGTTGCCATGGCAACCAAAAGGTATTATAAGAATAAATTTAAAAAAAATCTTCTTGTAAAGACCCAAAAGGCCTAGAGCTTAGATATTTTGCATAAGGCATTGGTCTGGTAGACCTCTACCAAGATTGTTCAAATTAAAAAGCCTTGGGGTCAAAATCGGCCCCCCCCGGGGGTCATTGATTTTCACTATAGTACATATAGTAAAAACTTAAAATACCTTCTTGTAAAGACCCAAAAGGCCTAGACTTAGATATTATGCATAAGGCATTGTCTGGTAGACCTTACCAGATTGTTCAAATTATAGCCCTTGGGCCAAAATCAGCCCCGCCTGGGGGTCATTGATTTTCACTATATGTACATATAGTAAAAACTTAAAATACCTTCTTGTAAAGACCCAAAAGCCTAGAGCTTAGATATTTTGCATAAGGCATTGTCAGGTAGACTTCTACCCAGATTGTTAAAATTATAGCCCTTGGGTTCAAAATCCGGGGGCTGTTTTCCTTATATGTATATAGTAAAACTTTTATGTAAAAACTTAAAAAAATTTCTTCTAGCAACTGACAAATGCTAGAGGTTGATATTTGCATGAAACATTGTGAAGTGAACTTCTAGCAAGATTGTTCAAATTATAGCTCTTGGGTCAAATTTGCCCCCACCTCGGGGGTCATTGATTTTCAATATATACATATAGTAAAAAATCAAAAATCTTATTGTCTGAAGGTACAAGGCTTAGAGCTTTAATATTTGTTAAATGATTTCATCTATAGGTACTCTACGAAAGTTGTTCAAATTTTGCCTGTAGTGTCAAAATTAGCCCCGCCCTTGGGGCTATAGGTTTTCCTTATATGGAACCTTTACCAAGATTTTTCAAATTATAATTGTTTGATGGACCTGTATCAAGATTGTTTTGAATTAAATCTGATAATAGGAATCAGATAGGTCAGGCATCTATGCATTATGACAATCTTCAAAATTGTATAGAAACCAAAAAAATCTGTTCCTACACTACTATTTAGTGTTGTATTAATGCGGTGGCATAGCATTTTTCTCAAATGCAATCTTGTTGTAACAGTTTTCGCAGCAACTAGTTATCATAGCTTCTTGATGTTTAGCATACAGCATTGCCCCATGGTCCCATACTGTGGTAAATGATTTCAGGTCTGTCGCTCATCCACTTCCTGTTTACCGACTTAGTTAAATTTTTGACTTTAATGGTCAATGGTAAACATTTTTTGTAACATCACAGCCTCATGATATTTGGTATACAAATGCAACCCGGCCTTTTCTGTCTTTGACCCATTTTTGAGTTATCTGCCCCTGAATCAGACTTTTCTACTTATTTGAGGTCATTTCAAGGGCAGATAACTTATATATACTTAAATGAATTCTTGTTTTTACTTCTGGATAATGTTTTTCTTTTTATTGTTGAGTACAATACATAATAACATGGAATTCCTTACATCGTTTCTGTTACTTTTTTTTTCAATGAAAATAAAGGTACTTTAAAATCTTCAAAAATACACCATTTTTTAAGAAAAAATGCACAGGTTAAAAGAAGAAGTGGGAATAAAAACTACCCACTCTAAATTTGCTCTTGAAATTTTGCATATCAACTAAAATGAAGGTAAGCTTCATGAAAAAAAGAAAAAAAATTGTATTGTTTCCATTCATTTTAAATTATCTGCCCTTGAATTTAACAAAAAAGTCCAATTCAAGGGCAGATAACTTGAAAACGAGAACAGTGACCCCAATCTTTTTTTTCCGCGTAAAATGTTTCTGTTATCATATTCTATCAACATTTTCTCTTTTATTTTTCAGTCATAATATACAAACATTCAAATCATAGTACATATAATTGAATACATAAAAAATAATGTCAAATCAATGTTATCAAATTATGACAAGTATATTTGTATCTTAAGATCTTTTTATAAAAGATTTTCACAGAAGAAAATGAGTGCCAAGAAAAACTGATAGTACTATAAAGTGCATAGTAAGTATGAAAGAGAGAAAAGAAAGTGTATAAAGGAAGGAAAGATAAATGAAGAATGAGAAGAAGAAAAAAGAGAGAGAAAAGATAAAGATTAGCTATGTCCCTTTGAAAAGATAGTTGGAAAAAAAATTACATTCATAAAGATATTTGACAAAGCTAATACTTAGTAAAAGAAATATATTTAAAAAAAATAAAAAATGGTGAAAATATAAGGAATGGACTAAACGGAGATAAGAATTGAAGATCCTTTCCTTTTCTATTTGTATATGCATAAATTATATGTCTAAATTGTGTGGTTTTGGGGTCTGTAAAATTTAAGTTTCATTGAAATTTGACCATTTTTCTTCAAAATTTTGTAGATTGTCTTGTATTAATGATATTTCTTTTTCAGTTCTAATCCCGTAAGAGAGGAATGACATAAATTTTTCAAAAGTTGCTATATTTCATTTTAAATATAAAGTATTTACACAGAATTATGATTAAATTTACAGTGTAATGTTTACCTAATATACCGAAACACACCTGTCTTAAGTTTAGAGGTATTTCATAACCTTTAGAGAAAAAAAATGTTTGAATTTTGTTCCAGAAAACTTGTGTTAATTGACATTCCCATATGAAATGTTCAATAGATTCTATCTCTATGGTTGTTAAGTCAAGTTACAACTGTTTTGCACCATTAAAATATGACAATTTGAGCTACAACCTTTGGACAATTGGCGGTGGGAATGTGCTGCCGGTCCATTTGGCCATCAGCTTCGGCGAAGTTTAATTTATTAGAGAGGGGTCACCATGTTTTTCGGGACCCTCTTTTGTTGCTCTTTTGCTATAAAAGGTGCCATATCGCTATTTTGCGGCGCCAACTAAGTATTAACATAAAATAGTAATATAAGTGCAGCTGAATAAGTATGAGTAGGATATATAGATTTGCTGCTGGAAAGATTTGCTGTGTTCTGTTTTGATATAACATTTGTGCTAATTTTAACACAATGTTTAAATAGTTTGTGCTGATAAAAAGATTAATAAATTTGTGCTTATCATATTTGTGCTTGATTTTAACAGAAACTGTTTTGCTTGTACATTTCTATAGTTATATGCTTATGGAGGATTCACGCCAATAATTTCTCCAAACATAGGATTAAGAAGAGAAATAAGATGTTTCATGGAAAATATATGATTAATATAAATTTCTTTAGTGTTTGTGTAATGTTTTTATCTTTTTTACATTAATATGTACGATGACCAGAGGTAGCACAATGGTAATTGCAGTCAAACAAACAGTAATAATTTACTTAACACCTTACAGACAGGGAGAAAGGCAGGACAAGCTTCCCAAATATTGATCAAGTCTATTTCACTATATCCCGTCTTTCTTCACCTGGTCAGTTATTGAAACGCAATGGTTATTGCTGTAAAACAAACAGTATACCTTCTCTACGCCTTACAGACCAGGGAGTAGGGAGGGACAAAATCCCCAATATTGGTCAAGCCTATTTCACTATATTTCCTGTCTTTCTCATCAGCTGTCAGTTACTTTGCGTACCAAAAAAGTACTTTTATATGCCCATTTGAAAAACGGGACGTATTATGGGAACGCCCCCTGGCGGTCGGCAGCGTCAAATTTTTGGTCTGGAGCATATCTCCTAACATGTATGGGAGGGATTTTAATGAAACTTCATAGGAATGTTTATCACTATGAGAGCAGTGTCGCGCACATGAACCAGGTCTCTAGGTCAAAAGGTCAAGATCACACTTAGAGCTCATTGAAAAATGCTTTTCCGGAGCAAAACTTCCACATGTATAGAGGGATTTCAATATTTACTTGGCACAAATGTTCACCATTGCGAGGCAAGAGTGTCGCGCTCAAGATTCAGGCTTGCGGCCAAGGTCAAGGTCACAACATAGAGGTCAAAGTTCAGAATAAAAATGATGAAGATGTGTATTATGGACCATTTAGTCATCATTTATTGAGGGATTGTAACACAAATGGTCACTATCAAGACTATGGCTGTGATACATATAATTTAGGTCAATATTTACAAGGTCAAGGTCACTAAAGATGATGAAATATCCAGATTTTGTGGGGAGCATATCTCCTACATGTATGGAGGGATTTTAATGAAATTTCATAGAAATGTTCACCATAATGAGAAGCCATGTCACGCACATGAACTAGGTCTCTAGGTCAAAGGTCACACTTAGAGCTCATTGTAAAACGCTTATCTGGAGCAAAACTTTCACATACATAGAGGGATTTCAATATAACTTAGCACAAATGTTCACCATTGTGAGGCTGAGTGCCGTGCATAAAATTCAGGTCCCTGCGACCAAGGTCAAGGTCACACATCCTGAACATATCTTCCCTACTGATTTTTTTTAAGGTTCATCTAACAACACAGTGCCAAGAATAAAAACTTGCTTGCTAGATAACACTTATCCATAATGCCCATGTAAAGCTTTCGTAAACGGGCGTATTTTGTGACTATGGCACTCTTGTTTGGTAGTTAAATTTTAGCTTGTGTATATTTTTTTTGATGAAAATTTGAGTTACAACCCTTTGGCACCAAGGCATTGAATGTGTTCTTTAAAAAACATCTTTGAAGGTACATACACAATATGAAAAAATATCAAATATTTTATTGTCAAGTATAATTTTGACTAAAAATGTTGAAGTTGATACATACGAAATTGGGCTTGACAAAAGTTTTTTAACTTGTACTGAAAGTATCCAATTATGTTCAGGTTTTTGGGAATACAACCCTACATGTTTTCATATTCCTGGAGTTTTGAGCCAAAAGAGGCAATTTTTCAGTTAGTTAAAAAATTAAGCTCAGACCCCAAAGACAATGTTTCCTCAAAGTAACTTTTTGATGGCCCATTTTCCGTCTCCATTGTCCGTGGTCCCAATTTTTTAAAACAACTTCTTCCTCCTTTAAAACCACGTCGCCCCAAATTTGTTTCAGGGATGTTCCTTGCATGAACCTCTACCGAAGTTATTCAAAGAATCAAAATTCCATACACATTACAAAAACTCTTCTTGTAAAAATAGAAAGAGCTAGAGCGTAGATATTTGGCATGAAACATCTTCCAGTGGATGTCTACCAAGTTTGTTAAAAAACAGCCCCAGGGTCAAAATTGGCCGCCCCCCAGGGGTCATTGATTTTCCTTTTATGTACAAGGGGTGTTCCAAAATTAATGTTACTTGGCTTCTGTCTCGAGGAAATCGTGCTATATGTACTCAAATCCAATAGATGTCGATAGCGTGAAACCTGGAGAGTAGTATTGGTCAATTTCTCGCTCACAATTACACTGTCTTAATGGTTCTGTGTCCATTGTTTTACAGCGTACTTGTTACACTCAAATATGGTTGGAAAAAAAGAGCTGATAACATGATTGAAATTAGGGCCTATATCAAAGGTAGGTCTCTGCTTGGCTTAAAGCAAAAGGGTATTCATTGCGAGGTGTGTGTTATTTATGGGGAGGTTCAAGTGTCGTATATGACTGTTTGTAGGTTGGTTGGTCGATTTAAGTCGGGACACCAGCAGCTGAAAGATGCTGCTCACACAGGCGGCCCTGCAACAACAACGACAAAACATAACCTTGAAAGAATTCGACAAATCCTGAAGAAAGACACAAGGTATACTGTCAGGCAGTTAGCTAGAATGACAAACTTGCTTTTAGCATGTGTTCATTGCATTTTGAAGAAACATCTTTGGCTAGTTGGATATTACATTTACTAACTGACAACCAAAAGAGGTCCCAAGTTGGAAAGGCCAAACTTTTGTTGAAAAAATATCCGAAATACAGGAAAAAGGCTTTCGAAAATTTGGTCACAGGTGACGAAACATGGGTGTATTTTTTCGAACCAAAACGAAAATGCTCTGGTCAAATCTGGGCCACCAAAAATGCAAGGCGCCCTAGCATTGCTAAAAGAATACGAACCCTGAAAAATGTTTTGTAAGTAATATTCTTAAATAACATGGGCCAGTCGTGCAAATTGCGGTGCCAAAAGGTAGAACTGTCAACGGCAATTACCATAGAGACATTGTACTTCGCAAACTTAAGAAACACTTTAAACACCGCTGCCCACAAATAGGTTTGAAGTACCTCAGACTCTTGCATGACAATGCGCCAGCTCACAAGGCACAAATTGTAACGGAGTTTTTGAAGGGGGAAATGGTGACTGTCCTCCCTCACCCGTCTTTTTCACCAGACCTACATGTTGCCCCCTGTGACTATTTCTTGTTCTCGAAACTTATATTTCACCTGTCTGGAAGAAAATACAAATAAAGAAATGCTCTGGGCTCTGTCTGATGAGTATACCCATTGAAGAGTACCAAAACTGTTTCAAAAAGTACCATCTAGATTGATTGGCTGAAAACGTGCATTAGGGTAGATGGGGAGTACTTTGAGGGGCAGGACAAATTAAAGTGATCTTAACGACTTATATTGAAGAGAAAACACAAAAGTAACATTAACTTTGGAGCACGTCTTGTATATACACAATCATGTAGTAAAAACTAAATAAAATCTTCTTGTGAAAATCCTTAAGAGCTAAAGTGTAGATATTTGGCATGAAAAATCTTCTTAAAAGTGAATGTCTACCAAGTTTGTTCAAATAAAAGCCCTAGGGTCAAAATTGGCCCAGCCCCAGGGGTCATTGATTTTCCTTATATGTATATAGTAAAACTTTAAAAAATCTCCTCATGAAACTCCAAAAGAGGTAGAGCTTAGATATTTGGCATGAAGCATGTTCTATGTTTGTTGAAATAAAACCCCTAGGGTCAAATTGGCCGGAGGTTAACAGTTCAATCCCCAGCCAGGTCAATGTTTGTTTTCCTTCTCTTTTTCTGTCATCTTTTTATTAGCTCACCTCTCACTTAGTGACAGGCTGAACTGTTTAATAAAATGGCTGCCTGAGAGCTAAAATTAGTAAACAACAACATCTGAACCACTAGTTCAGTTTTAAAATACATTTGTAGCTAGTTTAACACAAAAATTTCCTTGGTGACAGTACACAAAAAATTGTTCAGATTAAGCTGTTCCTTGTTTTCAAATTGTGCTTTCTATGCTACTGCGTTACTAACCAGTAAAGGCTATTTTTGAATATTTTGACATCATGTTGGTAATTTACATAGGTTGTGAGTGATGTTTGTAATGTGTAAATTGCTTTTTTTTTGGTAACTTTACACACTTTTCTTGTAACTACATTTTCACAATTTTCATGAAAGTTAGCATGAATCTGGAGGGTGCTGGTTTAAAGTCAACGTCCATATTAATATTGGTTTGAGGTAGGGTCACAATATGACACAGGTATGAAACTGCAGCATAGTGTCTGTTATAACCATTTGTTTCATTTCATTTTGGTTTCATTCTACTAGAAGGTCTTGTTTGATTTTAATGGTCCAGATCAAGCAAGGTTAAATGGAGTTATAGCCCTAGAAGGAGCAAGACCAGCAATAATTTACCAATTTTTCAACAAAATGGCTTTATAATGTTGGATGGATACAAAATCTGCAGGCACTGGTTTGATTTTTTAGCTCACCTGATCTTGCTCAGGGTGAGCTTTTAGGATCGTTGAATATCTGTCATCCGTCCACACTTGTTCGTTAACACTCTAGCGGTCACATTTTTGCCTCAGTCATCATCAAACTTTGTCAGGATGATCTAGTTGATAGCTCGAATGAGTACGAACATGGGTCATCTCGGATGAAAAACTAGGTCACAGGAGCTAAAAATAGAAAAACTTTGTTAAAACTCTAGCGGTCACATTTTTGACTTAATCATCATCAAACTTGGTCAGGATGCTTGTCTAGTTGATAGCTCAGATGACTTCGAACATGGGTCATTTCGGATCAAAAACTAGGTCACCAGAGCTAAAAATAGAAAAACCTTGTTAACACTCTAGCGGTCACATTTTTGCATCAATCATCATCAAACTTGGTCAGGATGCTTGTCTAGGTAATTGCTGGGATGAGTTCGAACATGGGTCATCTCAGACGAAAAACTAGGTCACAGGAGCTAAAAATAGAAAAATCTTGTTGACACTAGTGGTCACATTTTTGGCTTGTTGGCTTGCAGCCACTTGTTTTGAATAACTTGTTCCGGTAAGGTGGTTTCCTGTTTCCACTTGTAAGTGCATGATTGAACGGGCAACCAGCTGCAATCGTGCCAATCGCAACTTTTCGGCCTTTTCCGTCACTCTTCGGATTAATGATAATAGCCGATGTAGTTCCAATTGCAATCGTGACAATTCGGGCGATTCCGTCATACTGCGGAATCAGACGAAGTAATATTACGGAAATTTAAGCTATTTTAGTTACTTCGGTAATCCCAGTTTGTTTATATAAATAGGATTTCTATTTTTACTTGATTTATCGGCTTAAATCGTAATAAATTATAAACGTAATTGTTCCGTTTCAATTGTTTTTCAAGACGCAAAAGTTAGTTTCTTTTATAATTGTTTTTTGTCTGTATTAGTTTTATACAATAGATAATGGTGACTGTAGTAGTATTCCGTCTTCAAAGGGTGGTCCTGCTTACCAAATCACGCATGATCGAGTTATATTTAGATCTACTGAACGCAATTCAACTTCTTGGTGAGGTAATCTAAAAAAAGCCCATGCATATCATTAACCTTGCCACGATAGCGCATCGTATTTGTGATCGTGTAACATAGTTGATACATGCTTATTAATTGGTACCACGTAACGAAGTATTTTAGTGCATTTTTACTTGTCTATAAAGCAAACGAATGATTTCTCTGCGAAAAAGGGGAAATGAAATGTGCACACTTGATTCACCATTGATCATTTTCTTTATTAGTTTTATACAATAGAGAATAGATTTCAAATCGTTTTGACAAAAAATATTCGTTTTTCCCCCAAAAAAAACCCAACAACTAAATAAACCCTTTATGATATACAAATACCGTAATTCAAAAAAATTGTGATAATAAATTGAAACAAAAAAACATTTTTTTAAAGGGTTTGGATGAAGGCACAACTGTGCAAGCCTTTCCTTTTAAAAGGAAACTTTATTGACTTAATTATCATCAAACTTAGTCAGGATGCATGTCTAGGTAATTGTTCGGATGAGTTCGAACATCTCGGATGAAAAACTAGGTCACAGGAGCTAAAATTAGAAAAATCTACGCTCATTGTCTATATAAATACAAAACATAAACCACAAAAGTCAAATCAAATATAGCATGAATACATATGTGATGAGAGATAAATAAGCTTTGTCAATAACATTTTATGTGTGACAAAAACTAATAGTCATAAGTACAATTCGTCACAGTTTCATTACTCTGACAATTTCTAAATATCACATACTAGTATTTGAGTGTTTTTTTTTAACAATATGTCTCTAATGAAGGTAATACAAACATACAAATTATAGCAGTTAGTTGGATCTGATTTTTATAGCACAACTAAGATAACATGCTAATTTGTTTAGTTACTGACATTAATTCAAGAAATTTGAACATGCTAATAATAACTGTCTATGCAACATTCCTGATCCATCTATACTTTGGACACATAATATCAAAATGGAAGTCATCTTCAATATCAGAAGAATTACATATTTCACAACGTCTTTCAATTCTATTTTGTCCATACCTTCCTGTTTGGATGCGTAACATGTGAGCGGATAGTCTAATTTTGTAATAAGTTGTCTAAATAATATGTTTTTAAAGATCCTGTATGCTGTAATTAAGATTGTTACACTTTTGAGTGAAATTTTATATATATGTATATATAATATGCTTCGAAAACAATTTTCAAACATCGAAGAATATGTAAAATATGTACTGCAAAAATTTGGCCACATTATACATGTATGTTATATTTATAATATAAAACCATAAAAAATGAGTTACAGGATCTTTAACATTATGTATTTTTCGTATCCTTTTTGGGAAGAAAATGAGCATTTAATTTAAATTATTTGATTAATATAGGTATCTATTGGCTGAATAATGCTAAATCTAATAACACATATGCATGGTACCTGATAATTTAAAGTGTAATAAAATCAAAACTACATGGTTAAGGTATTTTTTAGAAGATCAACAAATATACTTTTGAGAAAATTTAGGTATGAAACTTTGAAAATAGGCACACATTTTGGTAAATTTTATTGACCTTGATCCTTTTTGATCTTGTTTATCATATTTTAGGAATTTTTGAAATTAAGCTTTCTAAGTATAGAAAAATGGTCAAACACGTGTTAAAATGGGTGGGTAGGGTAACATTTTTGTGTCGCCTTGAAAAAGGCGATATACAGGGGTTACTTTTGTAGTCGTCGTTGTCGGCGTGCCCTTAAGCTTGTCCGGAGCATAAGTCAGTCATTATAAGTTGGATTGACTTCAAACTTGGTATGCATGCTTCTTATAATGACCCGAAGTGCAGTGCACAAGAACCGGTACTTTGCCCTTTTTTTTGAGTTATTGCCCTTTGTTAATTTTCATACTTTATTTTTGTCCGGGCCATTTCTCCTAAAGTATAAAATCTATGGACTTGAAACTTCATAGGATGATAGATCTCATTAAGAAGAAGTGCAGTGCACAAGTACTGGTACTCTGCATTTCTTATTTTTTGAGTTACTGCCCTTTGTTAATTTTCATATTTTATTTTTGTCCGGGCCATTTCTCCTAAAGTATAAAAGCTATGGACATGAAACTTCATAGGATGATAGATCTCATTAAGAAGAAGTGAAGTGCACAAGTACTGGTACTCTGCATTTCTTATTTTTTGAGTTACTGCCCTTTGTTAATTTTCATATTTTATTTTTGTCCGGGCCATTTCTCCTAAAGTATAAAAGCTATGGACATGAAACTTCATAGGATGATAGATCTCATTAAGAAGAAGTGCAGTGCACGAGAACTGGTACTCTGCATTTCTTACTTTTTTAGTTATTGCCCTTTGTTAATTTTTATACTTTATTTTTGTCCAGGCCATTTCTCATAAATTATAAAAGCTTTAGACTTAAAACTTAATAGGATGATAGATCTTATTGATAAGAAGTGCAGTGCACAGAAACTGCTGCTCTGCATTTCTTATTTTTTGAGTTATTGCCCTTTGTTGATTTTCAAATTTTATTTTTGTCGTGGCCATTTCTCCTAAACTATATTGTTCACAAGGCGACACACCCGACTCGCGGAGTTCTAGTTATACATACATGTTTTTCATAAATTTTGAGTAGATAACAATCATTTTGGTTATGTGGATTGTTAGCTGGATGTTACTTCTTGTTTCTTACCAAAATTAAATTGAAAAACATTTTTCATAATGATTGCATTTTAGATTATTTAAAGGTTCCTTATTTGTGAAATATGGCCTTTCTAACATCCAAAAGATGTTCTGAAAAGTGGACATAACTTGATTTCCAAGTAAAATTTGTTTAAATTTTGTCTTTTGATAATATCAAAAAAATCTAAAATCCAATAAATTGAGATTTAATATCCGAATAATACAATACAAAACGAGACAATGAGTGTTTTTTGTTGCTTCAAACACGTATACGTGCGTACATGTTTGCAAAAAATCGACTATTACCATTAAAATATTTTGCAAATAAAAAAGAAGATTTAAACAAATAACGAAAGTAAGGCTTGAACCGTTGACCTTTCTTATAATTATAATAGGCAACCACTTAACCAACTATGCTTTTGCGTATCATCGTCGGTACAGTATTATATTTTGTATATACTACATACTGGTATGTAGATAGCCTGGTTTCGGATGTGATTACGGTATCCTGTAAGTTAGTGAGTCTTTTCAAAATATCAAATATATGTTCTTGTTTATTGATTCTCGTAAATAACACGGACAGAACCTAAGAAGAATCAAATATTTAATTAAATATGAGTGCTATAATGAATTCATAATTGACAGGTCAATAAAATGAAACTACGTTAGTATAAATTGTTCAAATAGTTGATAATAAAGATAACTACTGTAATTATGTGATACTAAAAGTGTATATTTTTGTCGTTATTTTCTTTCATGTTGTCGACGACTTGGCAGAAATCAGGCACCATAGTTTACTTCTACTTTATCGACAGTTGGGTGCAGAAAAGAATAACCTAATACGACAATCGGCAGTGTAATTATTCTGCGCGTTAGCGATATTCTTTATTTTGATAGGTTATAAACGGCCTTCGTGGACAATTCCTAAACGCATCACTCGGTATAGACACAGAGCATCAAAAGAAGATTTCCGCTTGGCTAAACTTCGGTTCACCAAGGACATGTTGACTGGTTAAGGTCCGACAGCTGTTTTTGTACATATAGGTCAACCTAATACCACATTGCGTTTGTGAGTTACAAACTGCTACAAATTGCGTATGGGAGTTACAACCTACTACCACATTGCGTTTGGGAGTTACAACCTACTACTACATCGCGTTTGGGAGTTACAACCTACTACCACATTGCGTTTGGGAGTAACAAACTACTACAAATTGCGTGTAGGAGTTAAAACCTACTGCCACATTGCGTTTGGGAGTTACTAACTACTACCACATTGCATTTGGGAGTTTCAACCTACTACCACATTGCTTTTGGGAGTTACAACCTACTACTACATCGCGTTTGGGAGTTTATCCTACAACACATTGCGTTTGTAAATTACAAACTACTACCACATTGCGTTTGGGGGTTACAAACTACTACCACATTGCGTTTGTGAGTTACAAACTACTACCACATCGCGTTTGGGAGTTACAACCTACTACCACATTGCATTTGGGAGTAACAAACTACTACCACATTGCGTTTGGGAGTTCATCCTACTACCACATTGCGTTTGGAAGTTACAAACTACTACCACATTGCGTTTGGGAGTTACAAACTACTACCACATTGCGGTTGGGAGTTACAAACTACTACCACATTGCATTTGGGAGTTACAAACTACTACCACATTGAGTTATGGAGTTCATCCTACTACCACATTGCGTTTGGAAGTTACAACCTACTACCACATTGCGTTTGGGAGTTACAAACTACTACCACACTGCGTTTGGGAGTTACAAACTACTACCATATTGCGTTTGGTAGTTACAAACTACTACCACATTGCGTTTGGGAGTTACAAACTACTACCACACTGCATTTGGGAGTTAAGCTCTCTCGCATTCGACCGTCTAGACTGAAACCGAGGGGAGTACAAGGTTGCAAGAGCCCCTAGTACGAATAGACTGCTTGGCACAAACATCCCTTATCAGAGCTAACCTCATTGATTACTGTATGTTATGGTGCTCAATGACTGCTGACCAGTGACCTTCATTTGACACAAAATTGATGTCTTTGGCAAAAACTCTGTGGAAATTGCACGGAGGAAAATTATCACTACTTTGTGCTTCAAAATTAACACTTTAAGCACATGACTGGTGACATGCTCGAGGTCCGTACTCGACAACAAAAGCTGCCTTAACGGGCGGATGGACCCTCGTTAAGCAACAGCTACATACATTCCTACGCATCAAAACTCCCAACTAATGTTAAATAGTCCATACCGCTTATACCGATATCATTTTTCAATAAATTAATAAATAAATAAAATAGATATATAATTAAAAAATGATTTTGTTTTAAATCAAACAAATTATGCGAAGTAAACAAGAAGCAAATAGATAAATACAGAGGAGTAAAATAATAGTTTATTTACTGAATGTTATAACTGTTAAATAAATAAAATAGTTTTAATAAAGTTCTTTCTTAAAATGATTACAATTTACAAATTGCTAGAGTGCTTTGACTTTTTATTTTTAGTAAAAACATTTGTCATGATCATAAAACATGGAAACAATATGGTCACACACCTATTGATTATTGTTTTACAAAGTGATTTATCAAGCGGTTAAAATATGTCGTCTATGAATTGTCTTTATTTGAACGGAAAGTGATCACGGATCTTTTAAACAATACCTAATTTACATTAGACATTTCATATTGATCAATTAATTGTGAATACAATATGGCTGAAAAGTTGAATTCCTAAAGTTTGGATATGATCTATTTTAATTATAACCATAAAATGTCATTTAATTTATTCAACTTACAAGCAAACTGCAGACGACATTCTTAAATAAGTTAACAGGATGGAGAAGGTGAAGTCAGCGTTAAGTTTAAGTTGTATAAAATCGGCAAGTATCTGCTTACTGTTATTTATTTGAAGTTATAAAGAAAATAACAAAATTAATCAATCATTTGTGTTTCAAAATTTAATTAAAGAGGTGATTCAAAGCGAAGGAGAGAACACAACTCTTTATTTAAGGAAATTGCGATTACGTTTCCGAGGGAAGTGTTTTAATAATTTTATAATATCAACAGGAATTTCACGGTGCGTAATCGTTTCGGGCTGATTTGCAATATTTCCCGTTCTTGGACTGATTTGGATTTATTGGCACCGGTTGATTAAGATAAAATGGATTTTTAGCTTGACAAGGTAAGAGAATACATAAAGTAAACACATTTACATATTTAGTCTTTGAATATTCTACTTGCATGGAATAGAACATTGTAATGTTTAAGGAATTCATATACAACTTGATAGGGTTTGTTAAGTGCATCTGTTTATAGTGAAGCAATGACCTTTTGGGAAAATTCATAAGCAAAATCATGATTAATTGAAAACGGGATAATTTATTTTGCCGAAAACAATATAATAACATACATATAAAATAATTTTCCCATATGTGGGCAAAACAACATAATTACATACATATAAAAATAATTTCCCCCATATCTGGATGAAAAACAGCTAACAATAATAATATACAGATAAAATAACAATTACATACTTATCTAAGTTAATGAAGTAACAGCATAATCTGTCAAAACATTGTTTTAAAATTAATACAAAACATTGTTTTAATATTGACTATTGGTAAACCTTGAGAAAACACATTGAGGAGGAGGAAAACGGGAGGTTGTGAGCAGATGTAGCTTGCTTTTCACTTCTAAAATTTTTTCCAGAAAGGCTGATGCCGTTAATTGATCGGTTGTCAGAGAGCACGTGATGTTAAGGGTGCTCTCAGATTGGCCGATGCCCAATACATAAATTAACCTAAATTAAGAGTCGGTTGTTCAACAATGACATAAAATATTTTATCTATCTATAAAATACATTTATCAGTTGGAATCGAAAAACAGATTTCACATGTCAGTAAAGTAGTAGTAAACACTAGCATAAAATTGCCAAAAAAGTCATTATTATCTATGATTTTTCAGGTATTTCATGATCATTTATAGAAAACAATCATTCCGCGATAATTTAATGGTTTTAGTAAAATGTTGTGTCCAGTAATGAATTTGTAGTAGATCTACGTATTTTTATGACAACCCTGTAAATTTGTTACGGCACCGGATTGATTCATATTAAGGGCCTAAATAAAACTCACTACAACTCTCGATCACCGAATTCAAATGTTGAACAAAGGCACTTCACTTAAATCTTTCAAGTTGTATATACATATAAAAGGTATAAAATTCAAAAATCTAGTTTATAGTTGCAAATGCCAGTAGTCAAAGTCAAAGCAACATACGTTTACATATAAAACTATCGGCAGATTTATAGTCTTGTTTGTAGTCTTGTCAACGTGTTTTATTATACAGATATGTACATGGGTTATATAACTACATGTATATAGTAAGTGTAGCGAACCAACGTTTATGGATGACCGTAATATGCTTCTTTAGAAACTATTTAGGCTTCTTTTAATATATGTACATATATAAGAATTTAAAATCAACGTATGGAGCGCATTGTCGAGAAAATGAACCATAAGGTTTTCGATTTCGCGTTACGTTTATCTACACATGAATTTGAAAATAGGAAAAAGTCTATTAATATCATGACATTTAATTATCTGATTATGACATTTGCAAATGTTTGTTTTAGTGGGTAAAGGGGGTGCCAAAAGCAGTCTCAAAATTCCAAACAATCTAGAACCGTAATTGTGATAACATATATATACTGTATATACACGTTTTGATTGACTATTTCTGAAAGGAAATTGAATAAACAAATGTTTAAGAAATTTAACTTGCAGCATAAATATCTAGATACCAGTATGTGGAAATATGCCCCAATCTAATTACGGATTAATGGAAGATCCTATGAACTTCCCCTTATGAATTATTAACAGGAAATCCTTTAACCTGGATATATCAAAACTTTTAGATGACAACGTCATCAGCCTCTTTGACCATTATTTATGTAATGCCTGCAGAAGATTTTGTTTTGAAGAGTCAACTTCTGCATCAAATTAAGCTTAATTGCAAGAACAATTTCTCTTTGAATTTTCCAGCATAGTTATTTCATTTGTCCCGATTAAAAGGAAATAATAATAAGGTAGGGAAACAAATCTACTACCGCTACTATATAGTTATATCCCAATCCCTCTCTATTAAACAACACTTTGACAAAACTATAAATATGTCGATAGTTTCATATAAAAATATGTTGCTTTGACTTTGCATACTGGCATTTGCAACTATAAACTAGATTTTTGACATTATATATTTTAATATTTGATATATAATTTAATATATATTTTTAATATTTAATATATATTAAAATATTAAAAATTTAAGATATAACAAGCAATTATCATAGTATTGCAAGCAATCCATAAGTCCCCTACCGGTAAGAACCCCAGCAACATTCTGATGGGCCATTGGCCATTCAATTTTACCAGTGAATGAATGACATGAATGAACTTAAATCTTTTCGAGTTCTAAGTTTGTCTATATCACAGTAATGTGTTAAGTTTCCCTGTCTAGTTTATACAACAGATAATCAAAAGGTCCAATTTTCTCAGGATGAATAAGAATAACTAATATTTCAACTTTCTCTATTTGAAGTAAATTTGTTGGAAAAAATCTTTAACAGTGATCTCAGAAAACAGTTTTTATGAACATACAGACAGACATACATACAGACAGATTGAAGGTGACTCTAAAGTTATTTTTTCAAACATGCCTGTTACCAAAATATAACATACTTTAATGCAAAATTCTTAAAGACAAGATAACTTTTGAAATAAAGATGCTAGATTTATAAACATTGTCATAAGTGAGTTTTACTTTAAGTTTAAAGATACCATTTATAGTCACAAAGAAGATAAGTAAAAAAATAACAATTTTCAAATATAGCATTAACTATAATGTATAGTAAGTAACAAAGATGAAAATTGAAAAAAAATTATTGTAGGTTTTGATAATGAATGTTTATTTTGAATTCGGAGAAAATCCACGAAGAAAAAATTAGAAAGTTAAAGAATGAATTAGAAAGATTCAAAGTTTAAGGAGGAGATAGTTCTGGAAATATGGATTCGTGTCATATTATTACGATGTGGGATTTTAAAGTAAATCCTATAAGGAATGAAGAAGTTGAAGTAAAAAAATACAATTTCTCGTAAAAAATCTAAGTTCAAGGGAGACATAATTCTTGAAATAGTTTTGCTAGAGTATTTACCTTCTCAAAAATGTTCAGTGATAATAAAAAACATATATATGAAGTTTGGAGTAGATACATTAAGAAATAAAGAAGTTATTTAAAAAAAGACAACATTATTTTCATAAAAATTCTAAGTTCATGGGAGGTAATTCTGATAATTTTTGTGCTAGAGTTGTAAAACTTGTCACATATGATGTGGTTGATGACCAGAAACTTATGTTTAAAGTTTGAAGTAAACACCTTAAGAAATAAAGAACTTATAGTGAAAAAGCTTAAAAATTTAAATCAGAAATCTTGAAATTCAGTCTATTTGTTGCCATAGCAACCAGAATTTTCAACATAAGAAGAAAAGAAAAAGATGTGCATAATCTCCAGATTGCCATCTACCCATATTTCAAGTTTCATAAAAAATAGATTCAGTACTTTTTGAGTTATCGCTGGATCCTGTGTATGTGTTAAATTTGCCATATTTTCAGACTTTTTGTTGCCATAGCAACCATAATTTTCAACATAGGAAGAAAAGAAAAAGACGTGCATAATCTCCATACTGCCATATATCGAGTTTCATAAAAAAAAATTCAGCACTTTTTGCGTTATCGCGGGATCCAGTTTTGTGGACGGACGGACAGACAGACAGACGGACGGAGGTTAAACCTAAAGTTCCCTCCGGTTAAACCGGTAGGGGACTAATAATATATATACAAATTGATAGATTTAGTGAAATGCCCTTGTTAAACCGAATAAAGTTGTATATGAATTCCTTAAACATTGCAATGTTCCATGCAAGTAGAATATTCAAAGACTAAAAGATGTAGATGTGTTTACTTTATATATTTTCTTACCTATTTTCTTACCTTGTCAAGCTAAAAATCATTTTTATAATAATCAACCGGTGCCAATAAATCCAAATCAGTTCAGGAGTGGGAAAATATTCCAAATCAGCCCGAAACGAGTACGCACCGTGAATTTGTTCATTTCGCTGTATTAAACTAATCATCGGTTTTTATTTCATTGAATAAACAACAACAACAACAAACTGATTTTGATTAAACTGAATATACAAAAGGATGTTCAAACTTTTGTATTTGTAGATTTCATTATATCCTGAAATGCTCTCATTTGGTTTGCTCTTCTAGTTTTTACGCCGATGTTATAACAATTTTATAATATATCCCGACTGTCTTTGCACTTAACCGATTTTGCTTGAAAATTAACCAGTAATTATACCAATATCTCCGTTTACATGACTACTAAACCCTTGTGATTTTTGAGACAAATGACTGACCAATTTGACCATTTGAAACGGAGACATTACACCTGTTCGGAGGATGGAACCATCGACCCCTGAATTACTAATGCTCTCCTCAGTCCGGTAAGCGGGCGGAATTTCACCTAATTAGGATATAACTAACACTAAGATAACTTATTAAGCTAGATACTCGATGTATTTTTTTCTTTTGAATGTTTGTTAAATAAAATTAAGTGTATGAAATCAAGATAACAATTAACCCGTCCCAGAATATCTGCACATATTTAAGAATCTAGTAGATATGGTAGAAACAGACATGAACGACATGTACGCACATGCCAGCTTTGTAATATGCGAAATATTGAAGACGAAGTTAATTTTATACTTGTTTGTATTCTGTACAAGGAAATCCGTACTAAATTCATTAAAAAATTGTATTATATAAGACAAAATATGTATAAATTCATAGAAATTACTTCAGTCATGTACGGTGGCATAAAAGTGACATTTGCATTTTTTTTCGTATATAAATGAACCATCGACCCCTGAATTACTAATGCTATTTACTTATGGTATTTTGTTTGTTTGTTGTACATATTTTTTTTAGTGTTGAATACATATTGCATACATTTTTTTTTGCATACATATTTTATTTTAGTTTGGCATTCATATTTTATTTTAGTTTTTCGGATATATTTTTTTTAATTTAACAAAAGCATTCAATTTGCAGAAAAAAACAGATTCTGCTCTAAAACCAGATATACATGTATGCAGCTACATAAAATTGTTTAGTTTAGAAAAATCGCTTTAATAATGATGGAAAAATAAGGTGATTGAACTCGACGTACACCTTTTTTTACTTTCGTTTTCGATGTTTTGCGGGGCTATTTCCGATGGACGCTCTACAACAGATATATATGGAGTAACAAGGCGGCCAAAATTGCATAATGACTTAAATCTTGCCATAATGGCCTTGGAATACCCTTGATTTTGTTACGTATATATAGTAACGTAGGTATTAATACGCCATTATCGGCGTTACTACGCATTTTGTTTCGCGTGATTAAGCCTTTTGTTTCTTTCTTTCGATTGTGCCATTGCAATATTTTATCTTATATAATGTGATGCTATAAGCCTTTCGTATAATACAGTGGTTTATTCAGATTTTAGCATTCAACTCAATTTGCTTATTTCAGAAAATTCAGGGAGGTTCAATTGTTCCTGCCATTTATACAAAACCCCCGTCAAAGTCGTACAAATTGTCGGACAATCACTACTTCTACATCAAAGATTTGAAGCAACTTCCTGGTAATTTACCGGAGCCTCGTCCACAAAACAAAACAAAAACAGAAACAATAGACATTGTTGAGTATATGCTAGTAGATGATAAAGCTATACGGGTACGTATATGAAACAATACTTGTTTTTAAATTTCACCGACTTTTTCTATTGTACTACTTCTAAGTATTTGTTTCCATATCAGTAACTAATTGCTATGCACAGGCGTTCAGTTGACTTCACAATTATAATGTCGTCCATCGCGTTAAAAAGCCGACACATGACAATGCAAAGTAACATCGCGACAACACTTTCGCAGACGCGGTGGGTCCAAATAACTCACAACTCACTATGTACATCAGATGCGAACCTAAAAATCAACTTCAGTTTTTCTTAAAAGCAAAAACTTCAGCATCAGTTGATATATGCTCGTATCTTCACATAAACTGCAATCTAACTGTAACCTCTATGTTTCTTTTTTATTTTACATTTTACACATGTACAGACATAAACTAACCCAAATAAAATAATTCTAACACAACTGTGGTGGCACTTATTTAAATTATACAGATTAAGCATCAAGATAGTTCAGTTCTAATAAAATAGCCAGGAAGAAACGAAACAAGTCACGGGAATTTCCATTTTTTCAATACCTTGATAACCTGTAGTGCACATGGACGAACTTTTACATTATAGTCAAGTCCTTTCACAATGATGTTGATCAAGGATGGTGGAACTGGTAAATCAGACTGAGTGGTGAAATCATGGGGTTGCGGAGTGTCTGAGTGTTCAAGTCATGTGACTGAGTATTGCCCTTTTACAGAAATCCATCACTGACACAGTTGTAGTCTCCTTCATTTTTTACTTCTTATATACAAAAAAATCAAGTCAAATACTTTCAAATACTGCTGTCTTCTATGTCTGTGAATTTGTCAAAGTTTTCGCCTGAAAAACGTCCAAGTAATTAATCCATTTCTTTCGATTCACTAAATTGGCTTTTCCAGACATTTCTTCATCCACTTTGTAAACCATCATTATTGTACCACCTCCTTTTTTAATAGCTGTTGTTACAGCTCTCTCCAGTATAGAGCACACTTGTGTAATAACATCTTATCTTATTTCTCATTAGAGTTATACGTTAACTACTTGTGATAAACTCTCATACAAACTACATAATATTACTATTGCTGAATTTTTTTAAACATTGGATTAAAAGATTATAAATGAATTATACTGTAACAATATAGTTAATAGTGATTTAAACTAAAAAATCACCATAAATTTTAGTGGCATTCCACCACCAGTAATGAACTGGCAAAGTTCAAATTTAATTAAACAACTTTTAATAAATCGTTGAACTTATATTTTCTGGACCACTTAAATCTTAATTAGAGGAAGAAAAAGTTTCATATTTATTGCTATGGATTGGTGACGAAGGCATGTACCGAACATGGGACCTAAGTTCAGAAGACGTCCAAAAGCTATGTAAAGTTCAAAGATCATGTGCAACCAAAACTTTATCCGATATTTGCAAGATGTCAGTTTGTGAACGAAATACAAGGAGGTGACTCAATTGACGCTTTCGTGACGAGGCTAAGAAACAAAGCCACAGATTGCTAGTTCACGGACAAAAATGAAACCATCCGTGACATAATTGTATTTGGATGTTATAGTACGTGAAAAACTTATAAATGAAGGTTAAAATTAACATTAGACAAGGCAATACAAATTGCACTAAATTATGAATATTGCCAAAAACAGATGACAACTATGGGGACAGCCTCGCATCAACCAATTGATACTGTAAAGGACCAAAGGCAAAATGGGCGAACAAAAAATCAGCAAATGGGACCCACTAAGGAGGGGAGAAAAGCGTCTACATGCTAAAAGTGAATCTAACTGAATCACTTATCAAAGCAGTGCAAATCTCAGAAAAACGCTTAAATTGTCATTCATATAGGGCACAATATTGACATTGAAGAACAATAATTGTGCAATGCAGTTGATGGATACTCAATTAATATGGTGAGTACTAGCTTACATTATCAAGACTGTGTTAAAACCGAAATTTGTCGAGTGAAAAAGAAGTATACCACGGAGTTCTAGAATGTTTTAACTTTTTAACTATGCCTTTCAAAGGATGTGTTCATTTTTCAATTACTGCAACCCCACAGTAGGCTACACAATATTGTGATGTTTCGCAACTTCCACCTACTCGTACCAAGCATATTCTGTGGGCTTAAATGAACCGTTGATTTGATTATGTACACACCATACATACTATATGCTTCTATTCGTATATTATCATTAAAGATCCTGTAACACATTTTTTTATTGTTTTAAATCATAAATATGATGCTCAAATTAATATTTATCAATAGTGTAGGTTTCAAAAAAGCGTTATTTATAAAGATATTGCCGAATTTAACATTTCAAGTAACTACAGGGAGGTAATAAAAAATCATTTTCTATAAAAGTTAAGTCAAGTTTTACAATAAGAAATGAATGCATATATTTTAATGATTGCATATTATATGCACAAATATTTGCAGTATATATTTTACATATTCTTCGATGTTTGAACAACATATAGGATTTTTAAGCAACTAGCAATAAAAAGTCAAAAAGGTATTCCAACTTTTCATAAAACGTCTCACTTTCGGTCTCTGAGCGGAAGAGGTTACGTCTTTGCTATTTATTTTTCCTGTCACTGGTAACCTATCAAGCACGGGTACCCTCTTATTTCGGTCGGTACTTATAGTATAGCAAGGGAATAAGACTTAAACAATAGTCGGATTTGACTGCAATGGCTTAGATCATATGCATTATTTGCACACAAAAAACCTTACAATATACATTTATCAACTGTTGTCGTATGGGTAAATGACGATTTTCCGATGATCACCAAATTACTCTTGAGTCCAATAACGAATATGTATTAAAACTACTTGGCTCATTGAAACGTTGATTTTTTTTGTAGAACGGATTTCAACATTATAGCTGCAACACATGGTAGTCTTAATATTTCGATTGCAAGACTGACCGATTTTAAAAAGAGATATTACATAGAGGTCTGTATAATTTTATATAATAAAAAGCCCTTGCGCTAAATTGGATGAGCTACAAAATACGCATTTTCAACAGGTGAATTAAACAATGTCTACTATATAGGCTTAAAGCACGTTTTTCCGTGTTATAACGTCTGCAGAGTCCCGAGGAACGGTTGGTGGTCTCGCCCTACCGGGCTCGGGATCCAACTGTTCCGAGGGACTCTGCAGACTTTAAAACATGCAAAAAAGTGCTTTAACGCTATTATAGCATGAACTTTTAAACCGGATTCATATTGTTTATTTAATACAAAACAAATAATCGAACCTTGTGGAAACGTTTGCGCTTGGACAAGATGTTTATCCAATTCCAAAAGTTTTACGTGTGTGTTTTATTTTTCCAAGGGGAATACAAATGCTCAGAGCCGGACGAAATGTCGAATATTAATTGATTAACAAACTTGGTGATTTATTAACTGAAGAAAAAATACTCTACCCAAGACAAAACATGACACTTAGAAATTCCGAAAATGATTTCAGATTGACGGTAGAAAAAGATCAGGGGCATTTAGACTTGACATCAGAATCGTTACAAGTTTAGGAAAAAAACTGACACTAAATTTAAGGCTATTGTCACAAAGAAAACATCAATATAAATAACAATAAAACAATGTCTTCTTATTTTTATTTTGTGTTATCATGTTTTCTAAGCTAATCGTAGAGTTAGACTGAATTACAGCGATTTGTTTACATTGACCACTGTCCGTTTTCTTAGAAAGGGCGACAACCAAAAATAGCGGCGATATCTATACGTATAGGTACTTCGTTGCTGCGCGTCGATTTTTTTATTTTTTATTTCTTTTTGTTTGTTGATCGGGACCTGTATAATGTATTGCGCATAGGTAAAAGAGGGCTATAACAAGAGCGCGTGACTCTGTTAACACATGGTTTTTGACCCGTTAAAACATGGGCAAACGAGGGGAAAACAACTGAGTTTATGCTATAATAGTTTTAACGTCTATTTTGAAATAGCTATCTTATACATGTATCACATAAAAAAATGTGATGAGGATTTAGAAATTAGTTTTCTTTGCTTTAAACCATTATATTGCATGACTTCTTAATTCGTTCTCTTAAAACTAAGGCAACAACAATAAAATAATGTTACTCTGATTACATGTAATATACCAGTAGCGCGTAAAAATGCATTTTCTGTCGCATACTCAATTCTTTTTTCGGTTTCTATAACGCAAAAAATGTCATCAGATAATATCAAAATGACGCAGCAATATTATCAAAATGCCGTTTGGCATTGTCGAGTGTTAAAGCAGAAATACAGACCACGATTCCCGACAATGGGAAGTGATACTCTGACAATTCCAAATTCAATTTATATTATTTCGTCCCTTTTAACGCGACCGTCCTTTATTACCAAGACATAACAAAAGAAAGTGTGAGACTTTCGTTTGGCATCGCATTCGCATTGCCGAACGTCACTTTGCCTTGTTAGGTGTCGTATTACATTGTCGCGGTGTCACTTTGCATTGCCGTTTGTCGACGGACGACAATATGAATTATTGTCTACTTTCTATACGAAATCTGCAGTTTTTGTATTTATAGCGGTTTACGGACGGCAAAATATAAAATTAATAACAAGATTTGACAAATCATCCACATACCCTTCTGTCCAAAGCTAATCAACTGAATATACCACTGATAAAAATGGACGACTAAAGTACATGTTTCCCAAAGCGGGCGCCTGCGGGGTTCGCCATCTGCATTAGGTTTTGACAGCTTCCTTTTATAAAATTTTGTTGGAAAATTATAACAGCTTCACAGTCTATTTTATTGCTCCGCGTCCACAGGCGCGGAGCTGTTTGTGTTTGCTATTTTTTGACGTCTCAATCGCTGGGAAGGCAGTATAAAAGGCAAAGCAAAAAATGAACTTAAATTCTGTAATTTATTTCTTATATTTGTATTTTCTACACGAAGTTACTTATTATTTGGTAGTACACAGTTGGTTTTGTATATAATATGAATTCAAAATCTAATAAAGTTTCCTTTTAAAAGGAAAA